GCACATATATATTTAAAATGTCATTGTGCAAATAATAAATTCAAAAATACTGCTCTTTACTCCATGCAGTAGTTTTATTCTAATTCTTTATAGGCATCTTGGAGACCATATTTATCATTAGAAGCATTGAACAATTTATGTTTGCAGTCTGTCAGTTTCACTTCTGTCTGATACATAACTTTTTGAATCTGTGTATGTTGCTATCCCTCAAAATTTTACCCAAGTCTCACTCAGTATTTGTGATTCTACACTTGACCCCTTATAGGGTTGCTTTTTGTTACCGTCTTTAAAAGGTGTGCTTACTGGTTGTGTAGAGCTTCATTTTGAAATCCCACTCCTAGGAATATGTATTATGTATGGGAAATCTGTACAATATCTGTGTCAAGTTATTTTACCTTTTTTTTTTTTTAAAAAAAATGATTCCTTCAAAACATCGAAATGTAGCATTGTTAGAGATCATTTTTGTAATTATTTATTAGTGGGTACAGCTGTATATCTTAGGAAACCCAAACTTACATGGCTTAAGCAACGTAGAAGTTTATTTGTCTTCACAAGTGTGCAGCGAGGTACTGCCACAGATGATCAGGGACCCAGGTTACCATCCTGGTGCTCTGCCCTTGAGGTGTGTGACTTCCATTCATAAGTCACCTTAAGGGAGGATGGCAGGCAGATGGACAGAAAAGAGGCTCCTTCTGGCCCAGTCAGCTTGGTGGAGGCAACGTTGGCCACACCTGGTTTCAGGAGCAGCTGACAGATCCAGTCTTTTGTTCCAGGGCAGTGTAAAACAGGAGACTACATGTTGGGTTGGCAACTGTTGGTGCCTTGCACTAACAGTGGAGTGTAATTACAGAAGTGCCCAGTGATAGGAGAGACTGAAACGTCAGCTGCATGGTACTCTCTGTTACCTCAAGGGTTATAACTAGGAAAAAATGTGTTGTAGATGCTATTTCTTTTAACATTTTTTCTAAATACCAGGTTTTTACCTTTTTTTTTGAGACAGAGTCTTACTGGAGTGCAGTGGTGTAATCTCACTGCAGTGTTTACCTCCCAGGCTCAAGTGATCCTTCCACCTCAGCTTCCCAAGTAGTTGGAACTACAGGGCTATGCTACCGTGTCTGACTAACTTTTCTACTTTTTTTGTAGAGATGGGGTTTCACCATGTTGCCCAAGCTAGCCTCAGGTGATCCGCCCACCTCAGCCTCCTGAAGTGCTGTGATTACAGGCCACTACTCCTGGCCTTATATTTTTCAATTTTTTTTCTTTGCATTTTTTCTGCTTGATGAGGTTTTCTTGATTAGACTTCCCTTATTCTTTTCTTCCCCTCGTGCTTAACATAAGTATTTCCTGTCCCCGCCCCGTCTTTTTTTTTTTTTTTGAGACAGTCTCACTCTATTGCCCAGGCTGGAGTGCAGTGGCATCATCTCGGCTCACTGCAGCATCCGTCTCCTAGGTTCAAGCAATTCTCCTGCCTCCAGAGTAGCTGGGGTTATAGGCATGCACCACCACGCCTGGCTAGTATTTTTTGTATTTTTAGTAGAGACATGGTTTCACCATGTTGGCCAGGCTGGCTCCAGACCTCAAGTGATCCACCCGCCTTGGCCTCCCAAAGTGATGGGATTACAGGTGTGAGCCACTGAGCCCCAAATGTGAATTAATCTTCCTCTGCTCCATACTTAGCAGTACAGGGACTTACTAGACTCCTTCTACTTAAGTCGTTCCTCATCCCACGCCCCGTTTCTTGATGTCCTGGTCTGATAGTTGACTTCTACTTATTTTATACCCTCCAGGATTATTATTTTTAAGAATCACCTTCTTTACCTATTTACCAGTTTCTTATTGCTGATCTTTAGGTATTTATTTTTTTATCCACACAGCTTCTTTGGGCTTAAAACTACTCTTTCTAAACTATATTCGCTATTAGCTCGTTATGTGGAGATTCAGAGAAGGTAATCTGTATCTCCTAATGAGAAATGTTCTTATTTTACCTCCTTGGATGACAGTCAGTGGATAACAAGTTCTAAGTGGATAGTTATTTTCCCTGTAGCCCTTGGAGAATTTCTGCATCATGGCCTGGCCTCTGTTCTAGGGAGACTAGTGTCAGTCTAATTGTCATTCATCTTACGTTTTTTTCAACTGGCTTTCACAATTCTTTTTATCTGTAAAATTCTACAGTTTTACTGTCATGCATCTTGTAATTAATTCATATTTATCCTCCTTGGGATTCATTTTTGTACTTCAGTCTGTGAATTCCTGTCTTCTATGAATTCTGGGAATTGTTTTAGCTGTTATCTGTTCAAACGTCGTCTCTCACTTTTTTCCTCCAGTTTTTCCCTGTAGAACTAACGTTCAGTGTACTTGTGACCTTATATCCTCCATGTTCAGTATGTACTCTTTCATATTTTTATATCTCTTGTTAATCTCAGCTCTGTTTTTCATTTTTCTGTTGTGTCTGATGGGGTATTTAATGTATCTTTTGGATTTCTAATTTTATTGGCTCTTAGATTTTATTTCTGGAACTTATGTTTGACTATTTAGCATGTCCTTGGTTTTGTTTGTTTTTGAGGCAGAATTTTGCTCTTGTTGTCCAGGCTGGAGTGCAATGGTGCAATCTTGACTCACTGCAACTTCTGCCTCCTGGGTCAAGCAATTCTGCTTCAGCTTCCAGAGTAGCTGGAGTTACAGGCATGCAGCATCATGCCCAGCTAATTTTTTTGTATTGTTAGTAGAAATGAGGTTTCACTATGTTGTCAGGCTGGTCTTGAACTCCTGACCTCAGGTAATCTGCCTGTCTTGTCCTCCCAAAGTGCTGGGTTTACAGGCATGAGCCACTGCACCCGGCCCAGCCTGTCCTTTTCTCAGTAGCTTTTTAACCTTTCCTTATATTTATACTTTTGGTCTTCAGCACTTCCTAGAGTCCAGCATCTTTGTATTCTTGTGCGGTGGCCCTTCTGTATGATTCTCCTGCTGACTCTTACTCGTGGTCAGGTTGTGGTTTTTGACTGGTAAAGTTGTTTTCTCTCTTTTGAATTCTCTCAGGTCTTGACTGTGGAGATGACTTTCTGGTTGGTTTTACTTGCTTCTGCAGCATACCCTGTAAGATTTTAGGTTCCAGAATTCCTGTATCAAGTGCCTGTTATGACTTACTCCTGCTAGCCTGCATGGGGCACAGGTCTGAGACTTCTATATCTCAGTGGAAACTTATTTCCCTGAGAAGTAGGTTCTCTCTCTGCTTTAGTGTTGAAGAAACTGAGGATCACGGAGGTCAGTGATGTCCCTAAGCTTCTGGAGTCATCAGTAGCTGTAATGCAGGCAGGATCTGTCTGACAGACTCTACAACCCATGTTCTTTTCACGGAGTCTTCTTGCCTTTTGTATGAGTTAGTCAGCTTTCATAAATTTACTTCAAGTTGTCATTCTTTTCTTTTCCTGGTTTCCCAGCATGTGTTTTCTCATGGATGACTAATGCTGTTAAAAGGTATCGATGAGAATAGTGTTTCTCCATCTTTTCTGGCTGCAGTGCATTTTGTAGAGCAACCCCGTGCGTGGACCAATACAGATTCATAGTTCCTTCATTCACCTTGTGCCGTGGTTCTGATACTTTCCTTTCTTTTACTGTTTCCTCTGGTTAAAATAGGCTGATTTGTGACTAACTTGGTCTCCCAGCTTTTTAACAGTTTGCAACCCATAATTTGAGCCCATGATTTTGAAGCGTGTCTCATGGCTGGAGTATAGATCAGCAGAGGACTTAACACAAGTATGCTGAGGAGCACATTCCCCTGTCCCAGCTGGGCTCACATTTGGCTCCGGTGTAGCTGCCACCCACATTCTCCCCACTCCGCAGGAGTGTGAGGATTCCTCTTTTTTTTTTTTTTTTTTTTTTTTTTTTTGAGACGGAGTTTCGCTCTTGTTACCCAGGCTGGAGTGCAATGGCGCGATCTCGGCTCACCGCAACCTCCGCCTCCTGGGCTCAGGCAATTCTCCTGCCTCAGCCTCCTGAGTAGCTGGGATTACAGGCACACGCCACCATGCCCAGCTAATTTTTTGTATCTTTAGTAGAGACGGGGTTTCACCATGTTGACCAGGATGGTCTCGATCTCTCGACCTCGTGATCCACCCGCCTCGGCCTCCCAAAGTGCTGGGATTACAGGCTTGAGCCACCGCGCCCGGCCCGAGGATTCCTCTTAAACAGCATTCCAGCATTAACTTTAGACGTTGGGAATATATCCCACTTATTCTTTAGTGGCTTCCTGTAGATGGCATTTCTTTTTAAGTCACTTAACTGTACAAGATCATAACTCACTCTGCCTGTTCTTACCTTTGATCTTATTTAATATTTTCTTCCTCTTTAGTTTATTCCAGATTTTTCTGAGATACTTTATTTAGCAACTTCATTCTTAGGCAAGTTTTAAAACCAAAGCATTTAAGATTTGCCATTCATTCACCTTGGAATTCGAACTTATTTTTCTTTTTTCTTTTAGTAGTACAGATAGTTTATTAAAAATAAAATTTGTGGGCCGGGCGCGGTGGCTCAAGCCTGTAATCCCAGCACTATGGGAGGCCGAGGCGGGTGGATCACAAGGTCAAGAGATCGAGACCATCCTGGTCAACATGGTGAAACCCCGTCTCTACTAAAAATACAAAACATTAGCTGGGCATGGTGGTGCATGCCTGTAATCCCAGCAACTCAGGAGGCTGAGGCAGGAGAATTGCCTGAACCCAGGAGGCGGAGGTTGCAGTGAGCCGAGATCACGCCATTGCACTCCAGCCTGGGTAACAAGAGCGAAACTCCATCTCAAAAAAAATAAAATAAAATAAAATTTGTGGAAAAATATTTTAGTGTACCATGCTCTGATACTACTTTTTAAAGACAAGAAATCAAAGACCAATATGCATATAGGGTAGGATGACAACACCATGTTGTTGTGCCTGCCACCAAGGTAATATGATAGCATGTAACATGAATGTGTAATTGACATGTACCAATCTTTTTCTCTTCCCTAGCCCTCCAAGCCACAAAATTGTGGTGAATGGAAAAGAATGTATAAACTTTGCCTCATTTAATTTTCTTGGATTGTTGGATAATCCTAGGGTTAAGGTGAGTAGCACATAATGCTGAAGTGGACAGATAACATTATGATTTAAGAAAGTGGACATAAAAGACAAATGCAGGCCAGGTGTGGTGGATCACTTGAGGTCAGGTGTTCAAGACCAGCCTAGCCAACATGGTGAAACCCCATCTCTACCAAAAATTACAAAAACTAGCTGGGCATGGTGGTACACACCTGTAGTCCCGGCTACTGGGGAGGCTGAGGTGGGAGAATCTCTTGAACCTGGGAGGCAGAGGTTACAGTGAGCCAAGATGGTGCCACTGCACTCTAGCCTGGGCAACAGAGCAAGACTCTGTCTCAAAAAAAAAAAAAAAAAAAAAAATCAGAGTATTGGAAAGGGCTCTGCAAGTTTTTCCCATTACTTTTTGTCTGACAGAGTTGTGAGCTGGACCTAGACAGAGGGAGACAAGAGTGTCTTTTGAGGCTCAGTGTTGAGCAACAACCACAGATCTGAACAGGCCAGACCTGGGGAATAGTTGGAGAAGGGTTTAGGAAATTGCTGTCTCTCCTATTGGGTTTGTGGGCCAACAAGCATTTTCCAAGAAAGACTTAGGCCCTCAAATGCAGAAAAGTTAACCAGTTTTGAGAATCAGGCTAATATAACTTTTCCATATTTTAAATCATACCTCTGTCTTTACATCTGTCTTGTCTTTATATTCTGTTAGAGTTGTCATAGTTCTAACAACACAGTAGAGGAAGAAGGAACTACGTGGGTTAAAGAATAGGAAATGTTCGTTTTGAACTCCTAAAAGATAAATGATTAAAGTGTAATTCTTTAACTTCAATCAAGGCAGCAGCTTTAGCATCTCTAAAGAAGTATGGCGTGGGGACTTGTGGACCCAGAGGATTTTATGGCACATTTGGTAAGTTTCTGTTGTGTGTGTGTGTGTTTTTTTTTTCAAACGACTGCTTTCAATAGTTAAGATTCTATTTTAGGCCCAGCACAGTGGCTCACACCTACAATCTCAGCACTTTGGGAGGCCGAGGCGGGCAGATCACCTGAGGTCAGGAGTTGAAAACCAGCTTGGCCAACATGGTGAAACCCTGCCTCTACTAAAAGTATAAAAATTAGCCAGGCATGATGGCAGATGCCTGAAATCCCAGCTACTTGGGAGGCTAAGGCAGGAGAATGGCTTGAACTCTGAAGGCAGAGGTTGTAGTGAGCCAAGATTGCGCCACTGCACTCCAGCCTGGGCGGCAGAGTGAGACACCATCTCAGGGGAAAAAAAAAATTAATTAATTAATTAATTAATTAAAAATTGTTCAAAGGAATTTATTGCTGAAAATAACATTTTGGCTTACAAAATGTCGAAATGTGGGGAAGGTAAAACAAGGGAAATATCTTTTGACTTCCATCCTCATTTCCATTTCTGAATCTTTCTGCTTTAACAGTTAAGTTTTTTACTTTTGTTTTTTTTTTTTATGTAAGGGAGCACCTTACTTTACTCCTTAGTTGGTTTGGTGGTTACATTAGTTGTCTTGGAAACAAGTCATGAGAATAAGTGTCCAAGAATCCTACAGCTGGAAGAGATCTTTAAAATTAGAAACTGGCCTGGGTTAGTGCCTCACGCCTGTAATCCCAGCATTTTGGGAGGCCGAGAAGGGAGGATTGCTTGAGCCTAGGCATTTGAGACTAGCCTGGGCAACACAGTGAGACCCCGTGTTTACAAAAAGATTAAAAAATTAGCTGGACACTAGCATGCACCTATAATCCCAGCTACAAAGGAGGCTGAGGCAAGAGGATCACTTGATCCCTGGAGGCTGAGGCTGCAGTGAGCCATGGTCACACCACTGCAGTTCAGCCTGGATGACAGAGTGAGACCATCTGAAAAAAAAAAAAAAGGAAGAATAGAAACCTAGTATCCTGATTCCCATTCTTGATGGCAAGTTCAAAGAAATGAGCTCATATCAGATTCTGTCATTTTCCTCTAGTCTAATGCAAATGGTTTGTTTGCTTGGTTTTTAATTGGTAGGGAATTATTTTCTTGCCAGGTAAACTAAAAGAGTTATGTTTTATGGGGTTGTTGACTGTAATCTGATAAAGGCTTTCTTTCTGTGACTGTTTGCTGAGGTAAAGGAATTGTTTTCTTAAAAGCCTATCTTTCTAATGGGTTTTACTGACATGCGTGACTTGGCGCCTGCTTGAGTCTTGATCTGAAAGACAGGTGAGAGACTTATTGCCAAGTCCAATGTGATAGTTTCAAATCTTCGAGACAAGTTTTCTCAAAGCTGTGAAATACATTGTTAAAATAGCCCAGTCACCTTTCCTTTTGGATCACCTGCATAATAGCGTGCTAGATGCTTCCAAACATGAGGTCTTTAGATTAGTGGGTTTTAAATTAATTTTCTTGATTGGGTAATTCAATGCGTAATAGAAACTTCAAAAAGTATACAGAGATAGACATGGGAAATCTCCTAACCTCAGGTTCTGTTTTCCCCACTGCCATCCTACCCCTTTAAAAAGACAAGCTACTATCAGTAGTTTCTTGTTAATTCTTCCAGAGACCTTTTTCCCCCGCGCATATGTGAACCACTTCCGCACATGTATTTTTCCCCCATTCTTAGAAAAACGCTAGCCTACCATACACATTGTTTTGTACTTTGCTGTTGACGTGAGTGTTTTAAATTTAAACTGGATTTGATCTTTCTGATGTTTAAATGGGCTGCCAGCGGCAGTATGATGAAGGCAATTGTGGGTTTGATCCTCTGAAAGCCGCATTATTAGTCACTGAGTCAGCTTTATCCTAAGGTGAAGGTTCAGACAGACTGTGGCTTCTGGACAAAGGTTGCAAGATAATTTGCAGTGGGATTGTTTTCAAACAAGACACCAAATCTACAACTTAAAGTAATGTGTAGTGTTTTCTGAGTGCATTGTCCTTCAGATAACCAGGGTTTTATTCATTCTTAACAGTTGCCCATCTTTACTTGTCATCTTTTTTCCTTTCTTTAAATATATATATAGCCCATATTTTTACTTTTTTGATTTCTGACAGGATTTTTTTCTATGTCCTTTTTCATTCTGGAAGCAATAACTTGAATTATTATAGTTTTATTAAAATACCTTGAAATTTTAGCATTAGATACAATCAGAGAAGCTACTTGAAGTCATCTAAGGCTAAATTTTATATCTAAAATACCCTATATAATTAAATTATTCTCAGTGTGAAGGGGATGTTTGCCTTTTGCACCAAACAATAATGCAGACATGAAGCCCTGTTTCTCTTGTTTGCAGTTGCTTATGTATTATTGAAGAGTTTAATTCGAGGTATACAATCACTTTCCCTGGACTCCCACATGATTGCTTTTAATATTGTCTTCCCCGACCCCCAAAGTATCACATTCTAGTTTCAAAACACCCCTTGTAGCTTTCTTCTCAACTGTTGAAATAGTGAATGTGAATCACTTGTAAGAGTGTTTCTTTATTAAACATTCTCTCTTGTTTACGATTTCATGGTGACATTTATGTTAAATGACTAATTCAGAAAAAGTAAATGGATCAATGATTGAGTTAAGATTCATCTAGTTTTTTAAGGCTAAACAGTCCCCTACCTCCTAGAGGCCTGACAGGTAGAAAACGAAACAAGTTATTAGAACAGTTTCCTTAGGACTGTGGACTAGGTTTTTCCCACCCACTGATGCATGTTTTAGAACTGAGCCATTGGTTTTATTGAGTTATGGAGCCTTCCTTTCCTCTAAGGCCAGTGGGACCCCAGGGTACTTAGGATATTGTCTGTTGGTGAACTTTTTGTTTGTTTCTTTCTTTCTTTTGTTTTTAGTACGTTTAGGTCTTATTCACCTGTGAGTTATTTTTGGTCTGTTTTGCATATGTAATGACTCATTGTCTTAAACTAGGTCACAAACAATTGGGTGGCAAGGTTTCATTATGAAAGATAATAGCATTTATTTGTGTTCCAGAGCCAGTCTAAACAGTTGTTCAGTTCAGTAGTTTATAAAAATATTTGGCTTCTTTGTTTTAGAACAGTCAACTGATCCATGACTACCTGTTCCAGTAAGAAGAACATTTCGTCATAAAATTCCTAGATCTGCCACTTCTTACTAGTCATGGGATCATGGTTTTCTCAGGTGTAGGTAGGAACAGTCATTGCTTGTACAGCTTTAGAACAATTTGGTAAGGATCACATAAGATACTGCATGTGAAAACATGAAAAACATTTGGCCCTATATGTTTTAGTGAGTACCTAAGGGCTATCATTTATACTCTTAAGAAGAAAACTTGTCCATGTCTCTAGGGATTTTTTTTTTTTTTTTTTTTTGAGACAGAGTTTCGCTCTTGTTACCCAGGCTGGAGTGCAATGGCGCGATCTCGGCTCACCACAACCTCCGCCTCCTAGGTTCAGGCAATTCTCCTGCCTCAGCCTCCTGAGTAGCTGGGATTACAGGCAAGCGCCACCATGCCCAGCTACTTTTTTGTGTTTTTAGTAGAGACGGGGTTTCACCATGTTGACCAGGATGGTCTCGATCTCTCGACCTCGTGATCCACCCGCCTCGGCCTCCCAAAGTGCTGGGATTACAGGCTTGAGCCACCGCGCCCGGCCCTGGGATTTTTTTTTTTTAAGGACAGTATGTATGCAAAAATATGAAGGCCTTAAGAGAAAACATAGTTTGTTTCTAAACTGTCCTGAACTCAGGTATTTTATGGTGTTTTCTCTGGAACACAACCAGGAAGGCCATAATCTCTCCTCCTCGTGAGAAGCTGAACAAGTGGCTCTTATTAGAAGATAGTCTTAACTATTCAGAATTCAGCTTAATTAGAAGACTGCCTAAAGTATGACCAGGCTTTTACTTTTAAAATAAAACCTTTTATTCTACAAATGTTGATATAAATTAAACAAACTCTTAAATAGCATATTGCTTGTTCCAGGCAGTGTTCTAAGTGTCTTATCAGCATTTAACTCATGCGGTCTTCCTATTAACCCTTGAGGAAGGTAGGACTGTTACCCCTGTTTGACAGAGGAAGGCACCAAAGCTGCCCAGGGCTGAACCCCCAGGCCTACCTACAGTCTGAACTCTGTGATGTCCGAGGTAGTGAGGCCTCCTGTCCCTGAGGCTCTGGTGAGGGAGCCAGACAGGCAGATAAACAAGTGCAAGAAAGTGCTGAGGGCTGTGAGGTGTGCTAAGGGCTGTGAGGTGTGCGGAGGCATTCTAGGATGCTCCCACTTCTTTGCCGTGTTTATTGCTAACAGTGAATTGGAGTACATAGTGCTTTAGTTTTATTCCATGCAAGTCTACATTTCCAGTTAGCGAAATGGATCATACACACAGTAGATATGGACATCAAAAGTCGAAGAAAAGTGAGTGCCCATGTAGTATTCCTGCTTGCTGCCTCCCGCTCCCTAGGACTGAGGGTTTCTTCATCGCACAAAGACTCATCAAGAGAAACAAGTTCTGCAGTTATCCATATTTACCTGTCACAAAACCTGTTTTGCAAGGCTGACATCAGCTAAAACCCAGCGTCTCTTGATAGAAGTAAAAGACTTGTCTTTTTGAGCTTTCAAGACTATGCTAGAACCAATAAGTCATTGATTTATTATTGAGAGACTACTCTTCGCACTTTATGGCAACTGTATATAAACAGTTATGAGTATACCTAATGATGGGAAAGATTTGTAACATGCTAATTTTCATCAACTAGGTAACACATTCTAAAGTCCTGAAACAGGGTCACACACAGTTTTGCAGTCTCATTATCATCAACAAAAAGAGTCATTTAGAGCTGAGAAGTCTACAGAATGACTTAAAATTCCTTTTGTGTTTAGCAAAAATAGTTTGTATACATAGCATGTTTTCTTTTTGAAATGGAGATACCAAATGAAAGTAAACCACTGTGGCCTGGGTTGTCCTTCTGGCTGAATTGTGAAGGTTTGCGGCAGATATTTTCAATTAGAAACACCATTATAATTTGAAGGAGGCCTCCTACCTGGGAATGTGAGAAGTGGCAAAGTGATGGCGCTCAGAGAATGGTAATGAGGATGAGAAGGAAGACGTACCCGAGAGTAACCCATGCTCGGCTCCTTGGCTGCTTGGCTGCTTTCCTCTTTCTTGCTAGATTTTGCCTGAAACCTGTTCTGATAGCATCTCTCCTTGAGGGTGGCTGTTACACAAGGGATCACAACCTTGAATTTCATGTGATTGTAATGTCGGAGATCTGAGACTTGAAGATCAACTGGGACATGTTCTTCTAAACTCTGTGTGTTGTCGTAAAGTCCCACATTTAATATTGGTATAGTGAAAAGTGTCCATTTTGTAAAATAACTATAACTAATTGGTTAATGGAAATCAAATGGTATTGACTGTGTTTATATATATATATATATATATATATATATATTTTTTTTTTTTTTTTTGAGACGGAGTTTCGCTCCTGTTACCCAGGCTGGAGTGCAATGGCGCGATCTCGGCTCACCACAACCTCCGCCTCCTGGGTTCAGGCAATTCTCCTGCCTCAGCCTCCTGAGTAGCTGGGATTACAGGCACGTGCCACCATGCCCAGCGAATTTTTTGTATTTTTAGTAGAGACGGGGTTTCACTATGTTGACCAGGATGGTCTCGATCTCTCGACCTCGTGATCCACCCGCCTCGGCCTCCCAAAGTGCTGGGATTACAGGCTTGAGCCACCGCGCCCGGCCGTGTTTATATGTATTTTAATGTACAAATAAGAAGCATGCCTCATATTTTATCACTATTTGATAGGAATGGAATTAATGTTTTAACAGTTCTGTAATGTTCTTTAGGAAGTCTGTAAATAAACTGCCTCCTGCCGCCAGGCCGTCAGCTCTCTATACTGCCCCTAGCTCAGGATTGCCCAGACCGCCTGCCGTTGCCCATGCTTGGGTTCTCATCAGTAGATGCACCACGGCTCCCTCATCCTGGGTCTCAAACTCCAACTGTGTAGCCTTTGATTTCCCTCCTTTCTCACATAGCTCTCTAAAGCTGGAGGGCCTGGCCGCTTCTAGCTCTCCCCACACAGGGCCTGTTGTGAAACTCTGTTATCTAGTCCTCCAGGCTTGGGTCCTGCCATAGTTAAAAGAGCTAAAGGAATTTTAAAAAATTCCTTTCCCTGCTTGATAATGTCTCATTTTAAGACCACTTAAGTTTTAAGATGCTAAGCTAGCCAGTGGCCTCTTTATTTTAAGCGTCACTGGTCCTCCACCCCAGGGTGTGAAGCTTCTGGATTCAGTCTGAGAGGTGAAAGGCTGTAACAAGGAACCATGATTTAAGAGGAAAATAAAACATGTCCGTCTAATAATTATAATGTATCCTCATTATGTCAACATTCTCTTTACGGTGCTTCTCTAAAACGACTACATTTCCTTTTGTACTGTAAGTTTGAAATCTTCATTGCACTTATAAGAAATTCAGAGCCGGGCGCGGTGGCTCAAGCCTGTAATCCCAGCACTTTGGGAGGCTGAGGCGGGTGGATCACGAGGTCGAGAGATCGAGACCATCCTGGTCAACATGGTGAAACCCCGTCTCTACTAAAAATACAAAAAATTAGCTGGGCATAGTGGCGCCTGCCTGTAATCCCAGCTACTCAGGAGGCTGAGGCAGGAGAATTGCCTGAGCCCAGGAGGCGGAGGTTGCGGTGAGCCGAGATCGCGCCATTGCACTCCAGCCTGGGTAACAAGAGTGAAACTCCGTCTCAAAAAAAAAAAAAAAAAAAAAGAAATTCAGACAGAAACCCAGCCCCAGAAAATGATGAGAGGTGCCACTACTAAGTGCTGACACAGATTGTTAGAGAAGTGGTCACTGGAGTGCTAGTAAGTGTCACTGTCTTGACGCAAAGTATACAGGGTTCTTTTTGCTGAAATGCAAACAGACATTAGTAAGTTAACATCAGACACTGGTGAGGCCTCAGTGGTTTTGGTTGAGGACAGTTAAAGCAGGGAAACTTGGTAGGCCTTGAAGTCTTACAGTAGAGTGATATCAAAGCATAACTCAAAGTTGGAGCTGCCCCAGTAGCACATTTTGCAGATAGATGAGTAGCTGATTTAGTTCATGTATTTTAGAAGTAGTGTGGGCCTAGAATTATTTTTATAGATCTTATATAATTTATCATTTAAAAACAATTCCATTTTGGCCATCAGGTGAAAGTATTGATAATTATACCGCTTGTGTTCTTTTATTCTTTAGTAGCGAGAAAGAATTATAAGACAATTTAACCATTTTACTTTTTTAACTGAAATAGATGTTCATTTGGATTTGGAAGACCGCCTGGCAAAATTTATGAAGGCAGAAGAAGCCATTATATACTCGTATGGATTTGCCACCATAGCCAGTGCTATTCCTGCTTACTCTAAGAGAGGGGACATTGTATTTGTGTAAGTAACCTTTACCTAGTTTTCTAATAGCAGTTTCTTTGAAATAATACTGATTGTCTTAGAGAAATACTTCAATAGAAGTTATCTATATAAAATAATATTGTTTTTTGTTGTTTTTCAAGAAGTAGTCACCTCACCAAAAGTTTCAAAATTTGTGAAACCTTCACTTAGAAGATGCTTAAAGGTGTCTGTAGTCATTTATCTGCCGTGATAATTATTTATCAATGTCCAGATGAGGACAGCTGTCTGCCTTTGTGTAGCTCTGGGGCTGTATGGTATCCTAGTCCGTGATCACTTAGACCGCCTGGCAAAGTCTCTCCATGTCTCATCACTCACTCACCCCGTCTCCTGTTCTCAGCTGGTCTTGCTTCCTGGCTTATTAAGATAGAGGACCCATAGCTTAGACACTTCCTTGACTACCTGCAAGTGGATCTTCACACTCGCATGTGTGTTGTGAATGCCTGTTACTGTGGTTTACTGTGAAGGGCAAGGACAGAGGGCAGCCAAGCAAGGGCTGGCAGGGCTCAGGCTGCTGATTAAACAGGCAGAAGCTTCTGCTGCACCAAGCCAAACCCCTGTCGTCCTTGGAGTGGGCTAGAATTTGGGTCTCAAATTTACTTTTATTTCCTTGTTTCCAACACCATAGCCAGAGTAATCTTTTAAAAATGTAAATCCTATCGTGTCACACTTCATTTAATACAATATGGAGCTTCTGTTCCTAAAATGAAGATGCAAGTCCTTTATATGATCTTGTGAGCTCTGTACCACTTTTCAGGCTCATTTTGTACCATTTTCCCCGAGGTGTTTAAGCTATAGCCTTGCCAGTCTTGTACGCTAGTGTCCCCTCACTTCAAGGTCCTTGCAAATGCTCATAACTGACTAGACACTGTTGCTCCTCTCCTCTCCTCTGTAATTCCTTCTCATCCTACACATAGGTCACCTCTGCAGGGAAGGCTTCCCACACCTCTCAGCAGGTCAAGACTTGCCCTGCTGCATGTGGACAAAATCTTACAGCCAGAGAGAATTTATTATCCTTGTTTATCCTATTATCTCACAGTAGCACCCAAACTGCCTGTCAAGGTCATCCTGCTTCTCAAGCCTCCCTCCCTTGCACAGACACACACACACACACACACACACACACACACACACACACACTCTGCCCTACTCACTTGCTTCGTACTTACTATACTTTTGTAGAACTTGTAACAGTTTGTAATTTTATATCTGTGTAGTTATTTGCTTCTGTTTCTTGCTGGAGGCCCATTACTTAGAATGGTATATATCGCTTAGTAATGGTCAATAAACACTAGTTCAGTAAATGAATGAAAGGAAGCCGGAGCTCACAGTAGGGGTCCAGGTGCCTGTATGGTAGAGCCTGGCCTCCCTGGAACCCTGCACTGGCCTCTTACTTACCACTCACTGTTGGAACTCTTGCTTGTGCAGCAGCAGAACTTACTATCACACTTACTGCAGAACTGACTCTACCTGGGGTTTCTGGGGGTACATGTGACCCATTCCTCACCATAGCCCTGCAACAGGCTGGGAGCACTACAGCGAATGTCCTGGGTCTAAGTTATATACTAAGATGACCATAAAAATGAACATTTTTATTAATTTCTGGCACATAGTTTAAAAAATAATCTGAAAAGACTCATCACAAACTGGAGTGCCATCGACTTAAAGTGTTTCTAGGTTTTTAGTAAAAGCAGAGTGAGAGACAGCTGTAGTGTCATTCACTGTCACTTTAAACACAAGCACCCCACTATAAATTCTTTTTGAGTTTACGTCCAGAAAAAGTATATGGTTACTGGTGAACTCGTATGCTTCATTTCATAAATACTACATTGTCTTTTAACTGTTAGGAAATATAGACTAAATTCACTTCCATGTATTATGCCCAGTGTCTTAAAACTTTAGTTTCCAGTAAGTTGCTGACCTGTTTAGTGTGCTACATAATTTTAAATATTATATTCTACCTGAAATGTGTCTGAGTGTAGGAGTACTAGAGGTAAACGTGGAGTTTGGTAAATTGGTTTTGATAAATTTGTCAGGCATAGACACTGTCTACTGCTTCATTTCCTTCCTTTCAGTAAACAGTGTTAGTCCTTTGTGCTTTGCTAATAGTGGGTCTCAGTACAGTGGTCGTTCATGGACTTAAGTCTGTCCTATCACTCCGCTAAGTCTCTGTTCATGTTACTTGACAGATCTTTTTAAAATTAAACTTTTTTTTTTTTTTTTTTTTTTTTTTTTGAGACGGAGTTTCACTCTTGTTACCCAGGCTGGAGTGCAATGGCGCAATCTCGGCTCACCGCAACCTCCGCCTCCTGGGCTCAGGCAATTCTCCTGCCTCAGCCTCCTGAGTAGCTGGGATTACAGGCACGCGCCACCATGCCCAGCTAATTTTTTGCACTTTTAGTAGAGACGGGGTTTCACCATGTTGACCAGGATGGTCTCGATCTCTCGACCTCGTGATCCACCCGCCTCGGCCTCCCAAAGTGCTGGGATTACAGGCTTGAGCCACCGCGCCCGGCCTTAAAATTAAACTTTTTACGTTCAGATAATTGTAGATTCAAAAGCACTTGAAAGAAATAATACAGAAATCCTGTGTACTTTTTACTAAGTCTCTTTTAGTGGGGACCTCTTGCAAGACAAACAGTTTAAAGGCCAGGATACTGACTTCATAATTGTCAGGGTACAGAACATTTCTGTCACCACAAGGATCCTTCATGTTGCTACATCCACATTCCTCCCACCTGCCCACTCCTGCCTACTCCTTAACCCCTGGCAACCACTAATCTGTTCTCTATTTCTATAATTTTGTCATTCTAGGAGTATTATATAGGTGGAGTCATCCAGTAGGCAACACTTTGGGGTTGGCTTTTTCATTCAGTGTAATTCTCTGATGATTTATCCAAGTTGTTGCTTGTATCCAGAGTTGGTTCCTTTTGATTGTTAACTATTACTCCATGGCATGAAGGTACCACCATTTATTGAACCAGTTACCTATTAAAGACATCTGGGTTGTTTCCAGGTTTGTGCTAATTAAAAAAAAAAAAAAAAAAAAAAAAAAAATGCTGCTCTAAACATTCACGTACATTCATGCTATGTGAACATAAGTTTTTATTTCTATGGTATATGTGCCAAGGAATGCAGTTGCTAGGTTTATAGTATTGCATATTTAGATTTTTCAGGAACTGCCAAACTATTTTCCATAGTGTCTATACCATTTTACATTCCCATCAGCAATATGTGAGTGATCAAGTTTCTCCACGTCCTCAGAAGCATTTGGTGTTGTCGCTGCTTTTTCAGCCAGTCTGATAGATGGGTAGAGAAATTTATATTTTTCTGATGGATAACGATGTTGAACATCCATTTATATTCATATTTGCCATCTCTTCAGTGAAATGTCTTTTCATGCCTTTTGTTCATTTTCTAGTTGTATGATTTGTTTTTATACTAATGAGTTTTGAGAATTCTTTATACATTCTAGATCATAGTTCTTTACCAGATATGTGGTTTGCAAATACAAATTTTGATGTCCACGTATTCATTGCTAATATATAGAAATGAAATGGATTTTTTGTGTGCTGATCTTATATCCTGCAACCTTGCCAAAATCACTTAATTAGCTCTAGAACTGTTTCTCTAGATTGCTTAGGATTTTCCATGCAGACAGTTGCCATGTCATCTGTAAATAGTTTTATTTTCTGATCTATATACTTTTTATTTCCTTTATTGCCTTATTGCACTGGCAAGAACATCCAGGACTGTGTTAAGAGTAGTAAGAGAAGACTTTCTTGCCCTGTTTCTGATCTTAGAAATCTAAGCGTTTAATCTTTCATGAATAAGTGTATTGTTAGGTGCAGATTTCTTATAGATATTCTTTATTACATCCACTTTCCTGCACCCCATCCTTTTTTTCTGAGCATTTTCATTGTAAATCAGTGTTGAATTTGGTTGACTACTTTTTCTGTGTTGTTGGTACAGTCGTGATTTTTCTTTTATTGTCAATGTGTAAAATTTTTCTTTTTTTTTTTTTGAGATGGAGTTTCGCTCTTGTTACCCAGGCTGGAGTGCAATGGCGCGATCTCGGCTCACCGCAACCTCCGCCTCCTGGGTTCAGGCAATTCTCCTGTCTCAGCCTCCTGAGTAGCTGGGATTACCGGCACGTGCCACCATGCCCAGCTAATTTTTAGTATTTTTAGTAGAGACGGGGTTTCAACCATGTTGACCAGGATGGTCTTGATCTCTTGACCTCGTGATCCACCCGCCTCGGCCTCCCAAAGTGCTGGGATTACAGGCGTGAGCCACCGTGCCCGGCCTAAAATTTTCTTTTTTAGTCTGTTAATAACATTGATTTATTTTCAAATATTGAACCAGCCTTGTATACCTGGAATAAACACCACTCACTTGGTTATGGTATGTCTGTGTGTGTGTGTGTGTGTGTGTGTGTGTGTGTGTGTGTGTACATACATATATAGCTAAATTCTATTTGCCAATCTTTTGTTAAGGATTTCGAATCTGTGTTCATGAGGGAGACTGTCCTATAGTATACTTTTTTTTTTTTGAGACAGAGTTTCGCTCTTGTTACCCAGTTTGGAGTGCAATGGTGCAATCTCAGCTCACCGCAACCTCCGCCTCCTGGGTTCAGGCAATTCTCCTGCCTCAGCCTCCTGAATAGCTGGGATTACAGGCACGTGCCACCATGCCCAGCTAATTTTTTTGTATTTTTAGTAGAGACGGGGTTTCACCATGTTGACCAGGATGGTCTCGATCTCTTGACCTTGTGATCCACCCGCCTTGGCCTCCCAAAGTGCTGGGATTACAGGCGTGAGCCACCACGCCTGGCCAGGTATACTTTTCTTGATACTTACTTTGGTTTTGGTAGCAGAATAACACTTTATTGAATCAGTTGGGAAGTGTTCTGTCTTCTATTTTGTGGAGCTATTTTTATAGAATTATTATTATTATTTTTTTTTTTTGAGACGGAGTTTCGCTCTTGTTGCCCAGGCTGGAGTGCAATGGCGCGATCTCGGCTCACCGCAACCTCCGCCTCCTGGGTTCAGGCAATTCTCCTGCCTCAGCCTCCTGAGTAGCTGGGATTACAGGCATGCACCACCACGCCCAGCTAATTTTTTTCTAATTTTAGTAGAGACGGGGTTTCACCATGTTGACCAGGATGGTCTCGATCTCTTGACCTCGTGATCCACCCGCCTCGGCCTCCCAAGGTGCTGGGATTACAGGCTTGAGCCACCGCGCCCGGCCCAGAATTATTTTTAATTATTTAGTTGTTCGGTAGAATTCTTTCATTAAACCATCTGAGCCTGGAGATTCCTTTTTTGCAAGTATGTTAATTCCAAATTCAGTTTCCTTAGTATTTATCAGGCTATTCAAATTGTGTTATATTGAATGAATTGAGGTAGTTCATGTTTTTCAAGGAATTGGTCCATTTCATAAGTTGTCAGATATATATGTGTGGTCCCATTCATGGTATTTCCTTATTATTCTGATGTCTATAGAGTTTACAATGATATACTCTGTTTCACTCTTGGTGTTGATAATTTGTGCTTTTTCTCCTTTTTTCTTTGTTAGTCTTGTTAGAGGTTTGTCCGTTTTATTGATCTTTTTAAGGATTGCTCTTTGTTTCGTTGGTTTTTCTCTATTGTATTTTTATTATCAGTTCTGTTATTTATTATTTCCTGCCTTTTCCTGCCTTCTGCTTATTTGTGGTTTGTTTTGTTCTTTTTCTTGATTTTGAGGTAGGAGCTTAAATGATTAATTTGAAACTTTTTCTCTTTTCTTGTATGTTCCTTTAGCGCAACTACTTTAGTTGTGTCTCACAGATTTTGATGTGTTGTGTTTTCATTTGTATTTAATTCATTTTTGTTTTGTTTTAAAAGGTGGGGTCTCACTATTTTGCCCTAGTTGGCCGTGAACTTCTGGGCTCAATGGATTCTTTTGCTTCAGCCTCTTGGGCAGTTGGGGCTACAGCCACACACCCCTGTGTCCAGCTTAACCTTTCCCTTTGACCTATGGATTATTTAGAAGTGTATTGTTTACTTTTTAGGTGTTCGGAGACTTTACGTTTGTTGTAGTTTGGTTTATGGCTAATACTGTAGTCTTATTTTAGAATATGTTACATGGGCACTTAAAAAATGTGTATTCTGCTGCTATTCAGTGGAGTGTTCTATAAATGTCTGTTAAATTTTTTTGGTTGATGGTGTTTTTGAGTTCTTCTATCTTGCTGATTTTCTGTCTAGTTCCTCGTGGTGTCAGTTGTTGAGAGGGATAATGACGTTTCCAGCTACGATTGTGGGTTTGTCTGTTTGTTTTGTCAGTTTTATCAGCTGTTGCATCTCAAGTTTTTTAGCTTTTTTATTTAGTGCATATCTAGGTATCTTTGTGTCTTCCATTTCATCACTGAGGCTTTTTATTTCATTTGCTTCAGGTGTCTTCATGATAGCTCATTAAAATATTTTTATCGTGGCTGCTCTAAAATTATTGTAAAATAATCTTGACGTCTCTGTCATCTCACTATTGGCATTTGTTGTTTCATTCTACTTGATATCTTCTGGTTCTTGATATAAGGGATATTTGATGGAAACCTAGATACTTTCATATTACGCTGTTGTAGTCCGTGTCTAGTTTAAGCCATCTCTTTTATCTGGCTTTCTCTGACATGGTTCAAACAAGGGATTGGGAGACTGCTGCCTCATTACTCTTCCAGGAGGAGGGACAATCCAGGGGCCCTACTCAGCCTCCATTGACACTACTGGGGGCTTCTTTGTTGCTGCTGGGTGTTGGTGATAGTTCTGACTCTCCACTTGCGCTCCTCTGACACTGCCCAGGAGGAGATGGAGAGGGTACCCACTACTGCCAGGCACAGGTGGAAGTTAGGGCTCTCTGTGTTCTTTGCTGACACCACAATGGGGGTGGTGGGAGTCCACTTGTTACCAACTGATAGGAATAACAGGCTCAGCCTCCCACTTGGCCTTCCCTGACTAGGAGGTGCGTCGCCTTGTTATGGCCTCTTGAGGATCAAAGTCTAGCTTCCCTGCTCAGCCTTTGCTGACGTGGATCGGCTTTGATACCGCCCATTTTTTCATGTGCTGTTTAGCTACAATAGAATAGTTAGTATCTAAAAGTTTCTATCTAGCTGAGCTGCCAGTATTACTTTTCAGGATAAAATAATGCAGAGTAATGTGTCAGTCAAATCAGATGCCACTGATGGTGAGGCATACCAGTATTTTATGTTTCTTAGAAAAGTATGTGAATAAACTGGTAAGTCATCCATAGTAAGATGCATGCTGATTTTGGAGATGTTAATATATAACCAGAGTGTGCTTCTTGGAATAAATATGGTAGTTATGTGAAAAGGACTCGTGAAATGAAGAGCAAACAGTGACATGTAAATATTCAAACATGTTTTATTTATTTGCTATGCTCATGTTAACAATCAGCGATTGCTCAGCTTTAAAAAAAAAAAAAGCATTTCTTTTGAGAGTGTTGACAAGACCCTTTAAACCCAATTTGGTGGGTCTCTCTTCCTTGCAGAGATAGAGCTGCTTGCTTTGCTATTCAGAAAGGATTACAGGCATCACGTAGTGATATTAAGTTATTTAAGCATAATGACGTGGCTGACCTCGAGCGACTACTGAAAGAACAAGAGATCGAAGATCAAAAGGTATGATTCTTTTGAAGAAAATGATACAGTTCTTTTGTACTTTCTAACCAGCTAAATTATATATGAAATGGTAATTTGTCATGAAAACTTGCCTGCTGATCACATTTGGATATTATGAAGGGTGTTCCTGCTTATTAGATATACTTCTTGTTGGAGAGCCAAGTCTGATTGTAATTGCCTTGTCATTGCCGTAATTATATATAGGAAATTGGGGGGAGGTAATCCAAGCAGCTTTCTAAGAGATCAGAAGAGGGTGAAAAACAGCACACGCTTGGTGAGGCAGGGAGATGTCCACTCTCAGCCAGGCATAATGACACCAAAACTTACTAGGGCTTTAATTACATGTACTTAGTGATTTCAGAATAGGCCTATTCATACCAGAATAAATCATGTATCAATTACACAAGGAAAGAATGGCAGCAAGCTTATTATATTAATGTATGAACAAAGTGAAGCCCTTTCTCCCTATACCACCTGTATCCTGCTCTGAGCAGCTGCTGCCTGTGAAATGACTGCCCCTAGCATGGTCTCCTTCCAGCTTGCAGCCCTGTTTTCAGTTCTTTCCTCCCAAGAACCTACATAACCCCAGGTGATGGTGGTTTGGAAGTAGCTTCTTGGTGTTCTGATTAGAGAGTGGAACAGAGGAAGTGTGTTAAAGCATTACCGTTAAAATTATAATTTATTTTCCCCTGAAAACACAGGTAAGTAAAGTAATTCAGATCTGTGGTTCTGAGCAGGGCACCGTGAGGTGTGTCTTCATTTCAGACACACTTCAAAGTAGACTTTGCCAGTGCAACTCATTCATAACTAGAATAAATGATAAATATGCTCATCATATGTCTTAATTCTGTGTTTTCAATTTTCCAAATATTTACATTGTTCGTTTAGGATTCTGTCATCTTTGTTTAGGTGTCAGTCTAAGTGCAGCACTAAATGAATATACACATTGTCGTGATGAATATGCATGATCTTGCCATTTTATGCTAAATCTGCTATAGGCTAATGTTTCACATTTACACAATTTAGAAAAATCTGTAGGGAAAATCTTAAAACTGAGCCCATTCCACTGATTAATTTTTTTCTACAAATTATAAAAAGATGTTACTTAGGATGATTCAGTAATGGAATGCTAGTCTGCATTCAGTCATAGAACTGCAGTCTGCTGCCATTTGTTTTGCCAAGTTAGTATTGTATAAATTTGAAAAACGTCAGATTCAAGATTTGTATGTGCTTATTTTTCTACAAGATCTGTAAGCTGGCCAGGCACAGTGGCTCACACCTGTAATCCCAACACTTTAGGAGGCTGAGGCAGGTGAATCAGGAAGTCAGGAGTTTGAGACAAGCCTGGTCAACATGGTGAAACCCTGTCTCTACTAAAAATGCAAAAAAATTAGCTGGACATGGTGGCGGGTGCCAGTAATCTCAGCTACTCGGGAGGCTGAGGCAGGAGAATTGCTTGAACCCAGGAGTCAGAGGTTGCGGTGAGCTGAGATCATGCCACTGCACTTCAGCCTGGGCAGCAGTGCGATACTCCATTTTAAAAGTAAAAATAGAGAGATCCAAGATGGCTGATCGCTAGCAGTTCGAGATTGTAGCTCCCAGTGAAAGCGCAAAGAATGAGAGGACGCCACACCTTCACATGAATTCTTGTTGCTCACGCACCAGGAGATTCCCAGCGGAAGAGCCCCACGGGTCGCCAGCGCGACTCTTGTGACCAGCGAGGCGGTTTTGCCGGCCCCTCGGAGTGTCGGTTCTTGGTGCAGAGTCAGAAAAGCACCGTCAACCTTAATGCCGCTGATTTAGTCGGTGCAGTGGGTTGCTCAGATTTCGGCGCTGAGAATCAGTAAGTTGGACGTCCACTCAGAAACCCAATTACAAAGATGGTAAATGCAAAGATCACAGATGGATAAATTTATAACGAAGGGAAGAAAACAGCCAAAAAAGGCTGAGAATACCCAAGATCAGAATGCCTCTCCCTCAGCAGGGGATCACAGTTCCTCATCAGCAACGGAACAAGGCTTGATGGAGAATGAGTGTGTTCCAATTACAGAAGCAGGCTTCAAAATGTGGATAATGAGAAACTTCTGTGAATTAAAAGAACTTGTTCTAACTCAATCTAAAGAAACAAAGAACTTTTAAAAAAAGGTTTGACGAAATGTTAACAAGAATACACAATTTAGAGAGGAATATAAGTGAATTGATGGAGCTGAAAAACACAATACGAGAACTACATGAAGTATGCACAAGTTTTAACAGCCGAATTGATCAAGCAGAAGAAAGGATATCAGAGGTCGAAGACCAACTCAATGAAATAAAACAAGAAGACAAGATTAGAGAAAAAAGGATACAAAGGAACAAGCAAAGTCTCCAAGAAATATGGGACTATGTGAAAAGACCTAATCTACGCTTGATAGTTGTACCTGAATGTGACGAAGAGAATGAATCCAAGCTGGAAAATACGCTTCAGGATATTATTCAGGAAAATTTTCCCAACCTAGTAAGGCAGGATAATATTCAAGTCCAGGTAATACAGAGAACACCACAAAGATATTCCTCAAGAAGAGCAACTCCAAGGCATATAATCGTCAGATTCACCAGGGTTGAAATGAAGGAGAAAATACTAAGGGCAGCCAGAGAGAAAGGTCAGGTTACCCACAAAGGGAAGCCCATCAGACTTACAGCAGATCTCTCAGCAGAAACCCTACAAGCCAGAAGAGAGTGGGGACCAATATTCAACATCCTTAAAGAAAAGAACTTTCAACCCAGAATTTCACATCTAGCCAAACTAAGCTTCATAAGTGAAGTAAAAATAAAGTTTTTTGTGAACAAGCAAGCACTCAGAGATTTCATCACCACCAGGCCTGCTTTACAAGAGCTTCTGAAAGAACCACTACACATAGAAAGGAACAAACAGTATCAGCCTTTCTAAAAAAATACCAAGAAGAGCATCAATATAATGAAGAATTTACATCAACTAATGGGCAAAATAGCTAGCTAATATTAAATGGCAGTATTAAACTCACATATATCATTATTAATTCTAAATTTAAATTGACTAAATCCCCCAATCCAAAGACAGACAGGCAATTTGAATAAAAAACTAAAACCCATCAGTATGCTGCATCCAGACCCATCTCACATTCAAGGATACACAAAGACTCAAAACAAGGGATGGAGAAGGATTTACCAACCAACCAGAGGGCTAAAATAAATAAATAAAAAGCAGAAGTTACAATTAAGCAACAAAGATCAAAAGAAGCAAAGAAGGACATTATATAATGATAAAAGGATCAATGCAACAACAAGAAGAGCTAAAGATTCTAAATATATATGCACCCGATACAGGAATACGCAGACATACAAGACTTATAAAGAGACTTAGACTCCCACACAATAATAGTGGGAGACTTCAACATTAATATTAGACAGATCAATGAGACAGAAAATTAACAATGATATCCAGGACTTGAACTAGATCTAGAACAAGTAAATGTAATTAACATTTATAGAACTCTCCACTTTAAATACACAAAATATACACTCTTATCAGTACCACATCATATCAACTTAGAAGTTTAAATGAAAATAAATAAATAAATAAAAATAAAAAATAAAAGTAAAAATAAAAAAAATCTGTAAACCATGGAATTTTTTTTTAGTGAGCAACAATAGGAAATAAAATTAAGTATCTTGAAATTTATTTCTACTTTATAATTTTTACGTTTTTACTAATTAATTTAAATTTTCCTTGCCAAGAGCAGGCTTTCTAAGTAACTTTACATTTTGGTTTTTGGTTTTTAGAAATACTTATTTTCGATTTTATTTTCACATAAATAATCTAACCATTAACACTTTGAATGTTTTCTTTGTCTATTTCCCAAGTGCTGTGGTTCGTATATTGTTTCTTATCCCTTTTCCTACAGGGTACTCTTGTGTCATATTAATTATTCTTAAAGAATGGTCAGTGGATTTGAACAGTACTTCATAAAAGAAATATACATAACTATGAACAAGTGAAAAATAGCCTGGCCTCACTAAGAATTAAGGAAATTAGGCAAGGAGTTTTGCCTGGCACATTTTTAATGGTAATAGTCAATGCCAACACAGGTGTGGTAAGACAAAGAGTGTTCCTATGACACTGGAAAGAGTTTAAATTGGCACTGCCTTTCTAGAAGGTAGAAGGGCAGAAACATCCCAGGATCTTAGTCTTTCCGTGCCCTTTGACCCATTCCTGTGATGTTGTTTGAAAAAAGTTATCAGAAATGATGTCACATGCTGAAGGATATTCATATTGTGATATGAAAAAAAATGAGGGGAACAACTAAATCCAACATGAGGGAAATAGTTCAGTAGTTCATGGTATACCCACAGATAGAACGTCCCCGTTAAAATCGTGTAATCCTAAGTAATCTAGAAATACTCACAGCAAATGGTTTTTAAAAATCAAGTCCTAAAACTACAGTAAAATCCTGATTTTGAACAAAGTAATTTATATGCTTATACAAGAAAGATAAAAATTATCATCATGTAGTATGACTAGCTAATTTTTAAAATTCTTTTTGTACTTTTTCATCTCCCAAGAATCCTATATTGCATATTTTTAAATCTAAGACAAATGTTTTTCCTTAAAAAAGACAGGCAGAGGTATAGCATGCCCTGTGTAGCAATTAGGGTGGCATCTCTTCATCAGTCACTCCTAACATATTGCTAGCTCCCCAGCTTCACTTGTGAGTTGACGGAGTGAAGATGATTGAGCAAAATCAGTCATGTATACTTTTATATTCCTCTACAAACTTTTTTTTTTAGTGCTACTGCTGTGGGTTGTAAAATACCCCTTCAAGCATTACTTATGATACTTTCTTTTTTTTTTTTTTTTTTTTAAGAGACGGAGTTTCGGTCTTGTTACCCAGTCTGGAGTGCAATGGCGCGATCTCGGCTCACCGCAACCTCCGCCTCCTGGGTTCAAGCAGTTCTCCTGCCTCAGCCTCCTGAGTAGCTGGGATTACAGGCACGCACCACCATGCCCAGCTAATTTTTTTGTATTTTTGGTAGAGACGGGGTTTCACCTTGTTGACCAGGATGGTCTCGATCTCTTGACCTTGTGATCCACCCACCTCGGCCTCCCAAAGTGCTGGGATGACAGGCTTGAGCCACCGCGCCCGGCTACTTATGATACTTTCTAATTCTGATCATTTCTAATTGTCCATTGGAGCAGAATCTTAGAGGAGAGAAACCTCTGAGTAAGAAGATAATGACAGACTCTGTCTGTGGATCTCAGTGTTTTTGCAGTCCTGCACACCTGAAGAATGTACAGTTTCATACATGTACAGAGATTTATTAATGCCTTGCTGTGAGTGGAGTGTGTAGAGGTGTCTGTTGTTTGAAAAGGAGACCTCATCTAGGCACAGTGGCTCACGCCTGTAATCCCAGCACTTTGGGAGGTCGAGGTGGGTGGATCACATCAGGAGTTCAAGACCAGCCTCGGCAAGATGGTGAAACCCCATCTCTACTGAAAATACAAAAATTAGCTGGGCATGGTGGTGGGCTCCTGTAATCTCAGCTACCCTGGAGACCGAGGCAGAGAATTGCTTGAACCCAGGAGGCAGAGGTTGCAGTAAACCGAGATCATGCCACTGCACTCCAGCCTGGGCAACAGAGCCAGACTTCTTCCCCCCACTCAAAAAAAAAAAAAAAGGTGTGGGGGAGACCTCTTCACTCCATTGCCTGGGAACATCACCGGACAAGGTCATAGTCAGATTTTACTTGACCTGATAATAGTTCAATGGGGAGAGAGCAAGGAACAGTGTTACCTCCTGTTTTGGGGAGGTGACAGGAAAACAGGATTTGAGTTTTTTGACTTTTTGTTATGGAAAAATGCTGTCATATAAGAAGGAAACACAGGGGTATAGTGAAGCCCCCCCTCTACCCTTCTACGATCAGTAATACTGATGCATTACATCATTCTTGTACCATGTGCTCCTCACCCCATCTTCGTGATGATGATCTGCATCATAGTTGTTTTGGGTAAATTTACAGACGTTGAATTATATGAATACAGCCATACAGTTTTGACCAGTGGTTATACCGATGTAACCCAGTAATCTTGGGGATGTAAAACATTCCCATATCCTTAGAAAGTTCCCCTAGGCCTCTTCCCAGTCATGCTAGGGTTGGAGGGTTTTTTTGTGTTTTAATATTCTCAGAGTGCCTAATTAGTTTGTGTGTGTGTGAGGTCACCTAGCTAATGCTGTGAACTGAAAACATGTCTAAGAGAAGATAGCACTTGTTCGTCTCAAAATAACCAATCACAAACATTGAGCTTTAAATTCATTCCAAATATTTTTTTAGTAATACACATTGGAAGGTAAAAGTGCTAGGGAATATGTAATAGATCTTGTCTTTAGAGTTACTGACAATTTAAGATGTCTGCTTTTTCTCTTTTAAAGAATCCTCGCAAGGCTCGTGTAACTCGGCGTTTCATTGTAGTAGAAGGATTGTATATGAATACTGGAACTATTTGTCCTCTTCCAGAATTGGTAAGCAACCATGTTTAGCCATAATTTTAATATTTGGACTGTTTGACAGATGTGTCCTTTGTTTATGACCACTTTTAGTATATAGTGTCTGCGGTGCTTTGCACAGTAGGCATCATAAGCATATTTTGCTCAGATCAGGGAAAAAGAACAACACTGAATGCCAGGGCTGGCCTTCAAAGAGTAATCAAGACTGCTCTGTTGCCCAGGCTGGAGTGCAGTGATGTGAACACAGCTCACTGTAGCCTTGCCCTCCTGGACTCAAGTGTTCCTCCACCTTAGCTTTCTGAGTTAGCTGGGACTACAGGCACATGCCACCACACTCAGCTAATTTTTTCCTTTTTTGTCAAGTCAGGGTAAAAAAAAAAAAACAAAAAGAAAAAATTTTTTTTTTTTTTTTTTTTTTTGAGACAGAGTTTCGCTCTTGTTACCCAGGCTGGAGTGCAATGGCGCGATCTCGGCTCACCGCAACCTCCACCTCCTGGGTTCAAGCAATTCTCCTGCCTCAGCCTCCTGAGTAGCTGGGACTACAGGCACGCGCCACCATGCCCAGCTAATGTTTTGTATTTTTAGTAGAGACGGGGTTTCACCATGTTGACCAGGATGGTCTCGATCTCTTGACCTCGTGATCCACCCGCCTCGGCCTCCCAAAGTGCTGGGATTACAGGCTTGAGCCACCGCGCCCGGCCTTAGAAAAAATGTTTATCCAGAAAGTTCCCTCATGCCTCCTTATAATTAGTACCTGTTGGCCCCAGTAGCCATTAATCTACTTTCTATTCTTGTAGATTAGTTTTACCTTTTGTAAAATTGCATGTAAATGAAAGCATATGATATATATCTTGTAACACTTAGTTTTTTTTGTTTGTTTTTTTGTTTTGTTTTTTTGTTTTTTTTTTGAGACGGAGTTTCACTCTTGTTACCCAGGCTGGAGTGCAATGGCGCGATCTCGGCTCACCACAACCTCCGCCTCCTGGGTTCAGGCAATTCTCCTGCCTCAGCCTCCTGAGTAGCTGGGATTACAGGCACGTGCCACCATGCCCAGTTAATTTTTTGTATTTTTAGTGGAGACGGGGTTTCACCATGTTGACCAGGATGGTCTCAATCTCTTGACCTCGTGATCCACCCACCTCAGCCTCCCAAAGTGCTGGGATTACAGGCTTGAGCCACCGCGCCCGGCTTTTTTTTTGTTTTTTTTTTTTTTAAGGCAAGAGTTTTGCTCTTGTTTCCCAGGCTGGAGTGCAGTGGCACAATCTCAGCTCACCGCATCCTCCGCCTCCCAGGTTGAAGCGATTCTTCTGCCTCAGCCTCCTGAGTAGCTGGAATTACAGGCACGCACCACCGTGATCCTACCACTGCACTTCATTTCAGCCTGGGTCGCAGAGCGAGACTCTGTCTAAAAAAAAAAAAAAAAAATCAGTATTGTGCTGTCTCTGTTAAGTTGAATCATTTTAGACCATTTAAAGTACAATTGATTCTCATCATTCACCCAACTTAAATTCTGTGAAGTTGCCATGAACACTGGAATAGGAAATACTAAACTATTGCTGCTAGGGCAGATAATAAGGTTAGGTTTCTCTGAGCCTCTGGTTACAACATTTTCATCAACCAGTTGACAAAAAACTTGCTTTGTGTGTGTTTTTATTTAAAGGTGTCTTATTTAATGTCTGCTGATTCATTGCACTTTAACTCATGCCTAAACAAAGCTTCTCTAACACACAGATTTTCTCCATGAGGGACGTTACAGCCTTCTTGGATGTAGGAATAGTAGACAGCACTTTAGCATGACACTTGGAGGCCACTGTAAATAGCAAAATCACCAACAAAAAACACAAAAGTACAAAAAAATGGCAATAAATTGGCCATGAAAGGATACTTGTTCACAGTATCAGAGCTGAAACAGTTGCCTGTTCGCCCTTACCTGGGAAAACACGTGTCAGCTAATTCAAATTCTTCACTGCCCTGCACATGCGCATGCCTGTGATGACAGGAAAAAAAAGTATTGATTTGGAGGTTGCAAATAAATTTTAATAAGTAGATGAATTTGCACATATAGAATTCACAAGTATTGAGGGACAGCTATACACACTTTTAACCTTAATTTTTTTCTTTGCAATGTGTTCTTTATGATGCTGATCATTAGTATTTTGACCTTTATGTAACACTTAGGTTAAGTTAAAATACAAATACAAAGCAAGAATCTTCCTGGAGGAAAGCCTTTCATTTGGAGTCCTAGGAGAGCATGGCCGAGGAGTCACTGAACACTATGGAATCAATGTAAGTTCCCCTTTTTAGGAACGTTTTCCCTCTTATAGGAAACATGTAATGGCATTCTGCTAGGCATACATTTTTATAGGCACAAGACAGTGTTTCTCATCAGTTTGGAGGGTCATGAAACTTTGGTGTCTGTCACCTCACTGAGCCCAGGATGGGTCTAGTTAGCCAGACCAGGGGAACCCATCTTCCTTCTGAACTTATAAACTCAGAGTGGGTAGTGATGGTTTGTGCTGTGTTTGCATAGTTGCATTTGAATTGGCTTTTAGTGTCTCTTCTCTACAAATGGTTAAATTTTGCCTTCCAATTATTTCTTAAAATTATTAAGAATTTCCTAACTAGTCTTTTCAAAAGTATTTATGAAGGCAGGGAAAAGATATTGTTTCTAACATTTAAAAATCTGTATTTCTATATAATGAGTTTATGGGAGATAGATACACTTATACTTGCTGGGTGGGGCTGGGCATGTGCGTGTGTGTATGTGTGTGTCAAAAACACCACTGGCATGCATTCAGCAAAACCTCTTAAAGTCCCAAACAGTCAGAGTGAGGGGTCATGCTTCCTTTTCTGAGGGAAACTAACCCAGACTGCCTGTAGTGCCTAGTGGGTTTTGCTCCTGGAGCCTCAGGGCAGAGGAAGTCAGCCAGTCTTGAACAACTGTCTTACCAACCACCACGGGAAGAGTTACAGGAAGCTTTTTCTCCAAAACATGTGCATAAGAGCTGTACAACCTATGTTACAGAGTTGAACTATAAAGTGTAAAATTGCCTTAGATGATCTACATCCCACTACCATATAGTCCCGGAGAAGAATGTAGAGCAGAGTGAATATCAGGTTAGATGGAAGCACCTCCTCTAAGGCAGACTGACATTCAGCAGTTACATGCACCAAGGAGGTAAATGGAATAAATGGAAAGATAAATGGAAATGTACTTCAAGTAAATTTAGCAGCACACTACAGCCTTTTTTAAGGCATGACAATTTTTATGAAGGAAAAGACTTGAACATCACTGTTGTAGTTTTCTGAATGCTTCCAGCAGTTGTCACTGAGGAAATATGAGTGCCTGGGAACAGAGAGCAGAATGTATGGGCTTTATTTGGATCCTGATTCAAACAAATGCTGTTAAAAAAAAAACATTGGTGAGACAATCGGAGATATTTGAACACTGAATATGTGAATATATTTAACATCAAATTTACATTTGACATTTAAAAATTGTTAACGTCTTAAGTGTGATACTAGTTTTGTGACTATGTTTTTGAAAGTGTTTTTATCTTTTAGCAATACACAGTGAAATGTTCTCAGATGAAACCCCATGAAGTCTGGGATTCACTACAAAGAAATGATGAGAGTCATAGGGGATGTAGATGAAGCAAGGTTGTCCTTGAGTTGACAATGTTTGAATCTGGGTGATGGAGATTCTTTGTTCTGTTCTATTTTGTTCAGGCTTGAAATTTTTCATAATGAAAGGTTTTAAAATGTTTTTAAAAAGAGCAGGAGTGCAGAGTTTCTCTGTTGGATCTGTGAAACACTTAGGAAAACACTAGGTGTGTTCTGATAGTGCATTAACATGGCCATCAGTAAGTAATGATTGAATGCCTACTGTGTGCCCAGAATGGAACTTGGTGCTGAGGGTTGGAGATGAGAACACAAAGGAGTTCTGAGCAGTCAGAAAGATGTAGGACTCAAAGCCCATTAGGTCATGAGAGCACATTAGGTTCTTCTGCTATCCAGTTGGTCAAAGATTCCATTGCCATGACATTTGGATAAACTGATTTATGAAATGCCAAAAGGCAAATTGAATACAAGAATAAAGTACTCAAGGCTGGGTGAGGCGGCTCACTCCTGTAATCTCAGCACTTTGGGAGGCCAGAGTGGATGGGTCACGAGCTCAAAAGATATATCAAAACCATCCTGGCTAACATGGTGAAACCCCTACTCTACTAAAAATACAAAAACTTAGCCAGATGTGGTGGCACATGCCTGTAGTCCCAGCTACTTGGGAAGCTGAGGCAGGAGAATCGCCTGAACCCGGGAGGCAGAGGTTGCAGTGAGCTGAGATTGCAGCACTGCACTCCTGCCTGATGACACAGCAAGACTCCATCAAAAAAAAAAAAAAAAAGTGCTCAAAACTTCAGCAGACTTATTTTTATTTATCTCAAGTCCATCACATGGGGAAGGCCAGGTAGACCACTGTTTTAGCAAGGAAATAATTTTATTTTGTACCTCTGACTACTTTTAATATCAAAGAGCTTTGGGTTTTATCTTATAATTTGTCTGTCTTTGCTGTGAGTTAATTTGCCATGTATAATGAAATGGTAAAAATGTATAAAATGAGAGTTTCAGAAATGGGCCATGAAACTACAGTTCATTCAGCAATAGATGTTGCATGGTTTATTTTTTATTTTCACGTAGATGGGTAGTTTGAATCCAGATGTTAACAGTTTAATGCTGTTAAAGTTTGTCTCTAGGCTTCAAGTTGGCCTTTTTTTCTTTTAACTGTGGCATAACTGTTACTCCTCCTTTTCTGGCAGATTGATGATATTGATTTTATCAGTGCCAACATGGAGAATGCACTTGCTTCTATTGGAGGTTTCTGCTGTGGCAGGTCTTTTGTAATTGACCATCAGGTGGGTCCTTTTTAAAAAAAGGAGCTAAAACTGAAACTAATTGCTCCATTGGTCACCTCAAAATGTAACTACAAAATTTTACTTAGTTTATCACACAGTTTTTATTTAAATGTCAATTTTTAAGGAATCACTCAAAATATTTCTATTTAGAAATGATCTCTCATTTAGCAAAAAGTCTTGTTTCTGTTACACGTATAACATTTATTTATGTCTGCATCTTACCCCCTCACCACATGTACACACTGTTCAGTAGTTGTTCTAGAGAACTGATGCCTTTCAAATGTTTACCTAGAAAGGACAACGAATGTGTATATGTCTTCAATTCATTTGTTTCTTCTCAGCGACTTTCCGGCCAGGGATACTGCTTTTCAGCTTCATTACCTCCCCTGTTAGCGGCTGCAGCAATTGAGGCCCTCAACATCATGGAAGAGAATCCAGGTATAACCCTTAAAAAACCCAAGAATCAAAGAAATTCCAGGTTGCATTAGTTGTCTTACTGGTTTACTTACTGGAGAAATTATTTGCCAGACAAAACTCTGGCTTGGAATTACATGATCTGGCATTCGTAGGAAGAATGGCAGTGAAGTTGTTCCTGCCCAAGGGACTTGGGGTCAGAGCTTTTCTACTGTGCCTGGAGCCAGAGCCAGAGCCAAACCAAGGCTGGCTCAGATAAGTGGCTGGAGATGCTGGGAGGAGGAGGGGCTCTCAGCCAGTTCTGGCCCTAAACATTCCATAAGCCAGTCCTTATTTAGTTAATAGTTTTTGTCAGCTGAAGCATGCTGCTTTTTTATCTATGTAATTTTATAAATATTGTGAGTTTTCACCTTTAGTCTTTGAATCATCAGTTGGTACTAGGGCCACACCTGGTTTACCAGCAAAGAATTTACTCAGTGGGAAAAATTAAAAGTCAACTAAGAATTTGAAATGTGGCCTTTGGCTATGACAGTGCCACCTTTCCAAAGCTTAAAACAGAAAGAGAGCAGTAGGCCCTACCTGGTACAGTATTTCTGAAAATGTGTGTCTCTGTGCTCATTCATGTGCTTGCTTCTCAGATGGTTTGGCACTTTCCTACCTTCTGATCAGATACATTAGTTTTGGGATTTTCCTTCAATGGAAGGGAGATATCAAGAAAAGATTGTAAAAATTACTACAGTTGATTTTTCGCCAAATTGTTTAGGATAAAGAAATAAGCAGTAAATTTGTACCCTTTGATTCTTAGCCAGATTATCTCAAGGATCTTGATGAGAACAAGAGGCATTGATTGCTCTTGAAAGCATCATTCCAGGTTTGTTGAAAGTGGGATTAGTGAGGTGAGAAAAGGGCTGGTTAGCGCGTACCAGAGAACCCTGGGCCCTCAGGAGAGTATGAATTCCTGGCTCTGCTAGTATGTAGAAGGATATGTAGCATTTTAGATTAATGAACTTGATCTGGGTCTTCAAAAATATTTTTAGGTTAGTACTATTACACGTTCCAGATAGACTCTCAAATGTATTTTTTTTCATCCAGGTATTTTTGCAGTGTTAAAGGAAAAGTGCAGACAAATTCATAAAGCTTTGCAAGGGTGAGTTTTATATATTTTTAACCAACATAAAGTTTATCTGCACCACTCTTAAACAACTAATGAAAACTTTTAAATTTATAGGCTTAGGTCGGTTTGACCAAATTGCAACTAAGAAACCAAAAACTTAGTAGTTCACTCACATTGGTTTATTTGTATAAAACCAGACCATCTGTTTTAAAGAATCATGACTTTGTTTTTCTGAAAATGAAACAACTCAGTAAAATATTATAGCAGTACGGAAGATAGAAAGAGGAAAATAACAACCCAACATCCTACCACTGGAAATAACCATTTTTATTTTTTATTGAAGCATCTCTCTGTGTCTGCACACATATGAGGATGCCATTATATATTACATAATCAGGTGACTGTGTTCATACCATCTATGACTGTGCTACTTTTTAGTAAATTACTAAGTTTTAACACAAGAAAAAGAAGTGAAATTTTATGAGTGTTTCTTTCTTTTTTTTTTTTTTAATCTTTTTAAAAACTACACAAGAATCACTTTTTAAGATTCCTCTGTAGTTAAAAAAAAGATCGAGTTAAAAAAAAGATATCAGTGATATCTCCAGGTACATTTCTGGTCTTATAGAAAGTGATCTCACGTTGCTCAACGTGTTTCTTTTTGCCTTTCCTAAGGTGAAACATGCTTTCTTGGTCATGAAAGTCCTATATCTATCTGTTCCAGATACAGAAACTGGAGACTTTACTAAAAGAAAAGGACAGTTGATAAATGAGTACATCACAGCTGTTCCAGATAAAGAAGGGACAGAGACAATTAAAGTTCTGGGTGTGTCTGTGTGATAGTAACAGCAGTTCTTGCATGATTTATGGTAGAGAGATGTATTTGTATTGCTTCCAGTTCCATTGGTTTGTGAAATATTAATATGCCAACACAGCCTAGCATACTGGAGTCACTGGAAATTCATCATTGCCAGCCTCAGATGCCCTTCACTCTGTGGTGTTAACCTGCTTTTTTCTAAGTCCAATCCTCCACTTTCCCCAGCTCTGTCACACTTTTTCTTTCCATAATTCCTAACCCTGTCTTCACTCCCCCTCACTTTCAGCTAACAGCCTGGCCTCATGCTGTCACTTGGAACTTGTCATATTTCTTGACACATCTGCACACCTATGGGTATCTGAACTATTCTTCCCCCTGTAGGCCAATAAATGTTCCTTCAACTACCATAGGCCCTTCTTTTTTAAGGACTGAGCGCCTTTGCTTGTCCCTGCTGCTTTGGCATCAGGCTGTCCCTTCCTTGCATCATTTGATTAGCAGTCATGTCCACTTTAAGTTTCTCTTGTCTGTCACCCAACATTTCCCTCTACAACTCCCCATGTCTTTGCTCCTCTCTGTAGCTATCTTCTCCATGTCTTCATTTACACTGGAAGCTCTGAGACCTGGTTTCTACTACTGCACTTCACCTGGACTGTTTTTACGGAGGTCTCCACTGACTGCTGAATCCAGTGGACCATCTTCAGAGCACATCTTCTTGATGTCCCCATAGTTTTCAGCACAGATGACCACTCTTTCCTTCTTTGGACTCTACTACATTGCACACCTGGATTTCCTCTTGTATCTTTGAATGGCCTCATCTCGGTCTCTTGAAGGCTTACTTTCAGCACCTTGCTCGTCAAGACTTTGTCTGTGGTTCTCTTTTCTTCTTATTATCTCTTGAAGAATTGCCTTCTTCCACACCTGGAGCTGCACATCATTTCATAACACCTGTATGTAGACAGCTTCTCGCTTCATATCTCCACCCTGGACCACTGCAGCTCCAGGTCTCACACCCAGTTGCCTACTGAGTATCCACAGTTGGAAGACTCCATGGCACCTCATACTAAACACGCATTCAAAAGGGCCGCAGGAGCAAATCGTCCTGGTATCTAAATGGTTACAGAGAAGAGCAAACAAAACAGCAAAGAGGCCAATATGACAGGAGGGAAGGAGTGGGGAATCCAGTGGAGGATGAGGGCTGTGTCATGAGCCATCCACACACAAGGAAGTTTTGAGCCATAATGAGAGCATTGGCACACAGAGGAAGCCTTGGCATGGTTTTGAGCAAAAAAGTGACACAGCCTGTCTGATAACCTAGCAAAATTACTTTCGCGTGGTGTGAAAAAAATACATTAAAAAGCAATAAGAACAGAAGCAGAGACCAGTTAGCAGATTGACCCAGGCGAAAGGTGACGGTGACTCTGACCATGGTGGGAGCCGTGAGAAGTGTCTGGATTCTGGATATCTTCTTTGGGGAGAGCACACTCTACCTAGCCAAAGTTCATATGCATGGTGAGTGAGAAAGAAAAGACTCCAGGTGGAACTTAACGAGTTTTGGGAAGAATAAGTAGGTGGAATCGCTAGTGAGCGAGGAGGACAGAACTGTGGAGAAATACTTGCTGGGGAAGGTCAGCAGTGCTTACGTTTAGCCCGAAGTGCCCGTCAGACATGGAGGGCGGAGCAGCAGCTTGTTATACAAGCCTGCAGTGTGAGGGAGAGTACTGAGCTAGAGATAAATTTTGGGATCTTAGGGAATAGATACTAATTGAACTATTTCAATGTGAAGAGGCCAGAAACTAGCCAAGACTAGTTCAAGAAAGAGTGGCCAGTGAGGAAGAGGAAGACCAGAAGAGCCTAGAGTCCCGGAAGCTAGGGAAGAAATTGCTTATGTAGGAGGTCAGCCTGTGACATGCCGCTGCTGACAGGCCAGACCAGGTAACAGAACACTGATCCTTTGAGTTTGTCGTGTAGAGGTATTGTGACTTGCTGAGCAGTTTCAGGGGAGTGTGAGATAAAATGCCTGCTTGAAGGAGGTTCCAGACAGTTGGACACAGCTTAGATGACTGTTTTGAGGAGTTTTTCTCTAAAGAGGAACTGAGAAACAAGATGGTGGCTGTAGATTGGTCAAGAGAAGAGTATTTCCATTTAAAATGACTGAGGTCAGTTTCTGAATAACATCTGGCTAAGTATAAACATCCTTTCTCCTACTGGTTGGCAGTACTGTCTCTGTTATATACCAGGTTCCTATTTGTACCTAGATCTATTTTTGAACTATCTCTTCCATTCCATTGGTATATTTGCTCATTCCTCAGACTCTTGATTTTTATCTGTTTTTATCACTGTTTTAGAATACACGTGTAACTAGTGTCTGGTTTTATCACTGTTTTGGAATACAGGTTCCTCCAAAGTTATTGCTAGAATCGTAATTGGAATTGCATTAAATTTTCTGATGAATGTGGGGGGAATTGTCATCCATGAACATGAGCTCTCTATTTGAATCTTTCTTTGTGTCCTTTAATGGAATTCATATAAAGCCCTTGTACCTTTATGTAACCTTTAAAGGGGATTTTCAGACATCCTACAGATTTTGTTGCTCTTAAAGAGTGGAGTTGTCTTTTCTCTTATAGTTTCTACTTGATTATTGCTGATTCATTAGAATATTATTGTTTTCTCTAATCTGACCTTATGTCCAGGAGTCTTTCTAAACTCTTATTTCCAGTAGCTTGTTTCATTCTGTTATGATGATGTGCGTAGAAGTCCTGTTATCTGCAATAATGGTGTTCTCTCTTTCCTTCCTAATGTTTTTATATCTTAGTTCTTTTTCCTATTGTATTGCTTTGGTCTGGGTCCCTAATGCTGTATTGAACAGTGGCAATAATAGCAAACATTATTTTCTTATTCCCAGTTATAGAAGCACTTAGTCATTAAGTATAAAACATCATGCAGCCAGGCACAGCAAGTAACTCATGCCTGTAATCCCACCACTTTGGGAAACTGAGGCAGGCAGATCACCTGAGGTCGGGAGTTCAAGAACAGCCTGACCAACGTGGAGAAACCCCATCTCTACTAAAAATGCAAAATTGTCCAGGCATGGTGACACATGCCTATAATCCCAGCTACTCAGGAGGCTGAGGTGGGAGAATCGCTTTAACCCATGAGGTGGAGATTGCAGTGGGCCCAGATTGTGCCATTACACTCCAGTCTGGGCAAAAAGGGCAAAACTCTGTCTCAAAATAATAATAATAATAATAATAATAATAATAATAATGCGATGGGGTTTTGGTGAGAAACCTTTATCAAATTATTCCTAGTTTTGTTTTGTGTTTTTGTAAGAAACAGGATTGCACTGTGTTGCCCAGGCTGGAGTGCAAGTGGCCATTCACAGGTGTAGTCAACACACTACATCCTCAAACTCCTGGACTCAAGCAATCCTGCCTTTACCTCCCAACTAGTTGGGACTACAGCCATGTACCACTGCACCTGGCTAAATTATTCCTAAATTTGAAGACCTATTTTTAAAATCATAAGTAGATGTTAAATTTTATCCACTTTTTTTTTTTTGACGTCTATTAAGGTCAAATTTATAAATCATGAATTTGTCTTATAGCTGAATTGAAATATTTTCTGATGTTAAACCATCCTTGCATTCTTGAGGAAACCCTTCATTACAATATCTTTTTCTACACTGTTAGATTTATTTAGCTAATATTTTAATTTGACTTTTAGTATCTGTGTTTATAATTTAAATGCATCTATAACCTTATACCAACTTTAAGTAACATAGGAGTCAGTAGTAGGGTAGCTTCAGTAGATGATTTGGCTATTTTCCTCTTTTTCTGCTTCATGGATCCACTAGGTAAGACCAGGCTTGTTTCTTCAAAAGTTGAGTAGGCCTCACACTTTAAGGCCTCCTAGGCTTGGAGGCTTTGGTTTGGGGATAGTTGGTGATTATCTCATATATCTATATTGTTTAAACTTTTTATTTGTGTAAGTTTTGTTTTGTGTGTTTTCATCATGTTGTTTTCTTCCTTATTTTTATGCACTGTTTCATTGCATTGTGTTCTTATTCTTCGTCAGCTTCTTACATTTAGCTTTTGGTTTTATTTCTTATTTTCCAATAAATGTATTAAATATAAATATTTTCAGAGGTAGTATCTTCAATGTTTAGTTCTGAGTAATTTTTTTGTTTAATTTTTCTCGGATTGTTCACTTCTCTCATCTCTGAGATTGAGTTTGGGAAAGGAATTCAACGTCCTATGCTGGTTTACCTCTTTTTTCGTTGTAATAGAGATAGTTATTGGTGTCTGGTTCTCCCTATAGACTGTAAGCACACAATGGAGACCGTGGCTACCTTAGTGATTGCTATATCCCTGGGAGCTAGCCCAGTGCTCGTTTATCCATTGGGATACGATGTTTGGCAAAGTTTCTCTTTAAAGAGTAGTGTAATAGACTGTGAAACACAGCTTCTAAGTTTCTGAACTCAAGCTACAACTGTGTCCGTTGGTTTTAATTAAACTCATCTGACATTCAGCCATCTAGGCAACCAGAGATAGGGCATTTTGTTCTATTCCTTCTCTCACCAGCATGTGAGATGAGACCATTTGATCAGAAAGCACAGGCTAGATTTGGACCTCAAGTGCTTTATATTTCTTGAGGAAAATCGAGTCCATTCGATTAATATGAAATGCTATTTGGAAAGCTATATATATATATATATATATTTTTTTTTTTTCCCTTTTTGCCCAGGCTGGAGTGCAGTGGTATGATCTCAGCTCACTGTAACCTCTGCCTCCCGGGCTCAAGCAATTCTACCTCAGCCTCCTGAGTAGCTGGGATTACAGGCACCCACCACCACATCTGACTAATTTTTGCATTTTTAGTAGAGACAGGGTTTCACTATCTTGGCCAGGCTGGTCTCAAACTTCTGACCTCAGGTGATCCACCTGCCTCAGCCTCCCAAAGTGCTGGGATTACAGGTGTGAGCCACTGCACCTGGATGAAAGCAATTTTTTAATACTCTGAGAATACATGACCACCCAAAAAAAATACTTGATGTATGCATTTAACATGATCAGAATTCACACAGGAAATGGGTTTTGAAAGCATATTGCTTAGTTTCTATATTAGTAAAAGAACTAATCTAGAAGGTTCCCCCACGTTCCACATGCCCAAGATTGCATGATTTAGACCTACTATGAGAGATCTTTTATGATGTATTATATTTAAAGAAAGGAGATACAGATTAATAATATTCAAAGGGTGATTGGAAGGCCAAGTCAGATTAGTTTCCAGAATTCACATTATTATAACACACAGTAGTCATTCTGTAAAGGCTTGTCAAGTCCTAAACTGGGAAGATTCAGTTGTGCTACCTAGTGCTTTTACGGTCATTTCATTCTGAGGAAAAATAAATCATTTTAAGTGAAACAAACTAAATGAAAGGAATCTAAAATGTTTAGCCCAGTTTCAGATAGGCATATATCACATTTATGTCCTAGGAAGTAGATCAAAAATCAAATAATATTTGTTACTATAGGATAAAATAGACTTTAAATGAACCTGACCAGATACTAATAATACGGCATAGCATTTCATGACATTTGTAGTAAAATACTGGATTAAATTTAATTTAAAAATACGAGCCGGGCGTGGTGGCTCAAGCCTGTAATCCCAGCACTTTGGGAGGCCGAGGCGGGTGGATCACGAGGTCGAGAGTTCGAGACCGTCCTGGTCAACATGGTGAAACCCCGTCTCTACTAAAAATACAAAAAATCAGCTGGGCATGGTGGCGTGTGCCTGTAATCCCAGCTACTCAGGAGGCTGAGGCAGGAGAATTGCCTGAACCCAGGAGGCGGAGGTTGCGGTGAGCCGAGGACGCGCCATTGCACTCCAGCCTGGGTAACGAGCGAAACTCCGTCTCAAAAAAAAAAAAAAAAAAAAAAAAAAAAAAAATACAAGATTTGACCCCTAAAGACTTGTCTTTCTCCCCGAGAAACTGCAGATTTTGTGCTGTTAATCCTGAATAAAAAGAAAATAATTTTAATTCAAGTAAAATCTAAAACCTAACATGCAAATAAGGACATTTTTCTATCTAAACATATTGCCATTAGTCAAAATATAATGTATGTTTGTTTTCTATTGGGTATGTTTTGTTTTGTTTTTGTTTTGAGATAGGGTTTTGCTCTGTCAGCCAAGCAGGTGTACAGTGGCACAATCTCAGCTCACAGCAACCTTGACCTCCTGAGTTCAAATGATCCTCCGACCTGAGCCTCCCAAGTAGCTCTACTGCAAGCCACCACACCCAGCCAATTTTTTTGGTTTTTTTTGGTTTGTTTGTAGAGATGGGGTATAATGTTGTTAATATCAGAAATCATTCCTGTAATTTATGAGACAAAATAAAAACTAAAGACATAGATAATAAGCAAGGAAGCATAACATTTAGTGTAATGAGTAGCCTGTGAAGGATCCATATAGGATAATAATAGCGAATGATGGAGCACAGCCTTCCCTAAAGTCAGTAATGAAGAAGGCCCCACCAGGAGGCCATACTGGAGCTGGGCCCCAGCGTGCACAGCCGGCACAGGGAAGAACGAGCAGTGGGGGCACAGTGGGGGTGAGGGAGTATGACATAGCAAGGGGATGACAGACCAAGGTGGGCCCAGAGGGCCTGTAAGGAGGGGCGTCCAGGCCGGTAGTCGGGTGCACAGACTCCCTGGTGGGATGCTGGGCCATGAGACCCGGTCCTGTGGTCCTGCGCTTACAGAAGCCACATCCCAGGCAAACTTTTTTAGATAAGGAAGAGCTGCCCCGAGTGCCTCATTTTCCATTGTCAGAATTGGAATTCCACCACATGATGCTTCCTGTCAGTTGCAATGTTCTGTCCGTTCACTGTGCCTGGACGTTGTAGACTTATAACGTTATTTCTTCGTAAGTAATCTTTGAGCCTGGAAGGGACTTACAGGTGTGTGTGTTTCCTTTCTTCAGCATTTCTGGACTGAAAGTGGTGGGGGAGTCCTCTTCTCCAGCCTTTCACCTACAACTGGAAGAGAGCACTGGGTCTCGTGAGCAAGATGTCAGACTGCTTCAGGAAATTGTAGATCAAGTAAGTATCCAGTTTCTTAAGGAAATCTCTCCACACCACTTCTGCCCTCTCCGCAAGCAATGTTTTAATGTTATTTTTAAGGAAAGTCTCTGCCCTGATAGAGAGGGTAGAAAGGAAGATGCTGGTGACCCGCTCTTGACATTGAATCCTAATCCTCCAGCTCCTTCCCAGCTTCTGGCCACAGTAACAGACCGCAATAGGTGGCTCCCTCCAAAGTTACTCTGTTTTGTACCATTTTGCATTTAAATATACTTGGCCTCTCCTCTGAAAAATAAGCCTTCCAGAAAACTCACTTGCTCACCATTTTACAAAGCCAGGCTTTCCTGTGTGTATTTGGGGCAGGCATTGTGTGTGGGCATCACACACACTCCTGGACGGCTAGCTGTCCCTGCAGCACAGCTCAGGGACAGTCTACTCGCAGTCACCCTGAAGTCAGGATGCTTTTGTAAACGGAAAGGAAGGCCACTTTTTATTACATGCCTAATTTGGGAGGTTTATTTAAATTTATCTTCCAAAAGTCATTTTGCTACTAATTATCTAAGAACCACGTGACCAGGGAAAACTGCTTGCCCTTTTTCATCTGATAGCACTGCCCATCCTAAACGCTTCCTGCCCTAGGCACATGGGTTTGCGGTGGTGTAGGGCCAACAGAAGTTTCTTTAAAAGAGGGGGAAGAGCAGCAGAGTGACCTGGGCAGGAAGGACTCAGGAGGGCAGTGGGTGCCGCCCTCCCCCTCCCCCCACCCGCCCCGCACCCTTTCCAAGCCCCGGGATGCTGGACTGCTGCTTTCAGAGGAATCTGGGCTTTTATGTGGGCTGCTGCTGCTTTTAGAAGAATCTGATATATACTTAATAGGTATTTGGGAATGAAAATGGGCGGGATTCTGCTTTCTTGTCCAGAGGCTGTAGCTGTGAGCGATGCTACTAGCTCCCTGGGGTCATAATGGCAGCTACCACCCGTCGTGAGCCTTTCCGAGACCAGGCCCTGTCCTGAGCCTCATCTGCCTGTACAGCCTCTCAGGCAGGCTCTTCTAGGCCACGTGGCTGTGCAGTATACAGACTGGGTGTTCAGGCAGCCTCTGTTGCATAGCTGGCTTCAGCTGTCCTATGTCCCACAATGTTTGAGCCACATAATCTGGAATAACAGATTTGTGGAGAACTTCACACAACTTGTGCCCTTCTAGAGTTAATTACATTAAAAAATAATGATTAAAAAAACAAGCCCAGGATCTGAGCTTCCTACGGAAACGTGTCAGATTATGAATGATCAACCTGGAGCTACGTGGCTTTCAAGATGAGGAAATGCAACTGATGTTTTCTCAGGCACAGCTCTGTGGATAGGAAGAAAGCCTCTCTACAGGGAAAAACCTTCCACTGCCTGCTTCACTACCTCATTGTTTGTATTGTAAAGTTCCTTAAATACATACAAACACAAAACTAAGTATGACATCTTTGTGATTTGAGTTCTCATACAAATGGAAAACCAAAAATATATAAATTAAATAAAGCTAAATGGACAATAATGAATGTTCATTTCATTACCTTCATGAGGCAGGTGAATTTGTTTTTTTAAATGGAGTTGCCCCATCGGGACAGCTGAGAGCCATGTTCTCCGAGCAGGTTCATGAGCTGCATGTGTGGGTGTTGGATCTGAGTGATGGCGCCGCCGTTGTCCCTCGAGTGTCTCCTCAATGTACATCAGGACAGTTGTCCACACATGCTTCATGTTGAGAGACACTCATTTCCTTCAGATGCCAGTGTATCCATTGCATAGTAAACCCACCTCTGTTCTCTTTTCATTAGCTAAGCAACAGCTAAAGTCTTACTACAGCTTTGTACCAAAGAGAGATGCAGAGGAGGACTTGCGAACGAAGCAACTCGGTATTAAAATACTGTGCTTACAGGGATTAGCCATGTAACGAAAGAGGAAATGAAAAGTCTGTGGACAGCTCACAGATCCCAAACTCCCGTCTGTGGGCCTGGTTTGATACTGGCTGTCTAAAGGATTCCTCTTGAGGGTTGAGTGAGAAGAGAACAGTCTGGGGTGGGGAACAGAATACTATCTAGAAACTTCATTGACAGAAAAAAAGAGAGAGATCTTATCGCTTCTGTGCATCATCACAGCTTCCATTTTTAAAATCTTCCAAACCTTTGTCCCACTCCCCGCTTCTCTTCAGTATTTGAAAGAGAGAAAAGAACCATGCCGCCTGCCGTAACTCTTATTTAAGCTTTGTAGATCTGAGAGGCTTTGCTAAGTTTATGTTGAGTTGCTCAACAGGACACTGTTTTTACAAACTGAGCTATTGTTTATAGTGTCTCTTAACCAGCCAGCGCTCGAAACAGAGCCAATCCAGATGGTTGCAGGAGTTCACTTTTCCAAGTACACTTCCAGAGCCTAGAGTCAGTGAGAGGCTGTTGTGAATGCGTGGTGTGGGTTTTCTATCTCTTCCTCACAGCCTACGACGTGACCCTTTTGAGGCAGATGCTTTTACTGTCAGGCACATGGAATAATCGTTCTTCCCTTTACACTGCCCTTTGCTCTGTTGGTTTTTTTTTTATGTAACTCACATACCATAAAATTCACCCTATTGAGTGTGTGTGTGTGTGTGTGTGTGTGTGTGTGTGTGTGTGTTTTAATAGAGCCGGGGTTTCACCATCTTGGCCAGGCTGGTCTTGAACTCCTGACCTCGTGATCCACCCACTTTGGCCTCCCAAAGTGCTGGGATTACAAGCATGAGCCACTGCACCTGGCCCTGAAGTATATTGTTAAGTGGCTTTCAGCATCATACATTCAGCAGGTTGTGCAACCATTACTGTGTCTCATTCCAAAACATTTTCATCACTCCAGAAAGAAACCCCTGTAGCATATTACTTTGCTCTGATGTTTATGCTTTCTGTATTTTAGTAGAGATTGTTTTAATTTTTTCTTAAGGTTAATATATAGTAAAGCTGTGTAGAACTTTGTTAACACCAGACTCTACAGTGCCCAGCAGCACCATGCCCAGCTGCCATACACGGACGTCATTTATGCTAATATCTGAAGTGCAGTGATTTTTCTCTGGTGCAGTCCTACTGGTGGTGGTACTGTTAAGTCCACCTGCAGTACTTTGCTCGCACCACGTCCTTGCGTGCTCACTCTGCTTTGTCTAAATGGTAGCCACTAGCTATCTATGACTGTTTAAATTTAAGTGGAAATAAAAAAAGGTGCAAATGTGACCTCTCAGTAGCATCAGTCGCATCTCTATGTGTTCAGCAGGCACACGGCTCATGGTGACTGCTGGGCACTACAGAACAGAAGTGTTTGTCACTGCAGAAAGTTCTGTGGACAGTGCTGCCAAGGTGGTGCTGTGGTATTTTGGTGGTGTCTTACAGCAATTATAATCAGAAAATGAATTAAAGCTACTGTTGCAGGATTTCCGCATTCCCCACTTGAACTACTGCCGTGTCTGAAGTCCAGGTTGCAGATGTCTTCCTTTTTTTTCCTGCAGTGCATGAACAAAAATATTGCATTAACCCAGGCGCGCTACTTGGAGAAAGAAGAGAAGTGCCTCCCTCCTCCCAGGTCAGTTAATATTAAAATATGACCTTATTTTTTTTCCCTGCTCTTAGCTCTATGAAATACATTATCTTTTGTAAAATTTTGAAAGACTATTATAGGCTAAGGAAGATTATCTGTCATTAAAATATAGTACATCACCTGTTTAATGCTTTTAAACAAAAAGTTTTTACATTTTAACTGAAAGCCCCCTAGAACTCACTGAGTACCCTCTCAGTTCACTCAAAGGAATGTCTGGGAGCCCAATGATGAACTTTGGCAAACCTGAGTTTCCATCAGCTCATTCCTACCACATCTGGAACGTGGCACATGCTGTACCAGGAGTTCCTGCCACAAGGACCGTCCTGTAGGGAGGATTGGCAGTGTGGGGAAGGGGTGGGCATGCGCCTCTGCTGCTCCCTCAGTCAGCACACACTCCTTCATATTCAGGAAAAACCGAGCAACAGTGGGGAAAATCTACAGCTTCAAGAAAAAACACATCTGGTGTTTTTTTTAGTAAAGGAAAAGACTAATGTCTTCTAAGGAGACTGGATTCTGTTCACAAAGCGTGTACAGTGTAGGCCAAGGAGGTGGCCATCCCACCACGGCACTGAGCCAGGCAGTCACAGCAGGCGGCATGGACGTGGCCAGTTCTGCCCCGGAACAATGCTCAGGCTTTTGAGAGCAGGTGATGTCTACACCATGCCTGGAGAAATGTGTGTGTCGGGCATCCTGTGGTCATCATGGCTTTCTATCACATGAGGTGGTGTGTGCTTTGCTCAGGGTTTTCAGTGGCTTGGAGACCTCCAAGTTCATCTGGGAGTACAGAGCGCAAGCTGCAGAAGAGTTGGAGAGAAAGGTCCTGAGGCCAGGTGCCAAGTCAGGGAGGCTGCAGGAGAGCCCCCTGGGGAGTTTGAATGCTCTGCCAGCCTGGAGTGCCAGATCAGATTTGTAAAATCACTCTGGTAGCAGCTCAAAGCACCTTAAAGATTCAGCCCATCTCAGCCAGGCGCGGTGGCCCACACCTGTAATCCCAACCGTTTGGGAGGCCAATGTAGGCAGAACACTTGAACCCAGGAGTACCAAGACCAGCCTGGGCAACATGGTGAAACCCCATCTCTACAAAAATTACCCAGCCGTGGTAGTGTACACCTGTGGTCCCAGGTACTCGGGAGGCTGAGGTGAGAGAATCACCTGGTTCCAGGAGATCAAGGCTGCAGTGAGCTGAGAACACTCTTTTGCACTCCAGCGTGGGCTGCCCCCGTCATTTTTCATTGCACTCACCCGAAGGTATAATCCTATATCCTACGTTTACTTGTTAGTAAGACTACAAGTGCATGAGGGTGGGAGCCATGCTGGTTTTGTGCCCTCAGGACTCCCTGCTGCAGCGACCCACCTGCCCCAGTAGTGAGAACGCGACTATGGGCAGCAAGTACATCCATAGGCAGGCTGAGTGCCAGGAGAGCTTTGTTTACAAAAACAGGAGGCGGATTTGGCTCTCGGGCCACAGATGGGTGACTGAGTGCAGGTCCCCACCTCACAAAGATAATTCTTTGTGTCCATTACTGTCCTCAGCATTCGGGTTGTGGTCACAGTGGAACAAACAGAGGAAGAACTGGAGAGAGCTGCGTCCACCATCAAGGAGGTGGCCCAGGCCGTCCTGCTCTAGGCCGAGTCTCAAGGCTGCGGCCTCCTGCCACACAGCACGCAGACAGGACTCAGCACTCCCGCTGGCCAGGGAGGGGCCTGAAGGAGAGCAAGAACATGTGGATCTTTTATAGGATTGTTACCAAATGGTGCCAGTGTGGACCAATTGTGTGAACATGAGAAGGATGCTTATTTTTTTTAAAAGAGAACACATCTAAAAGCCCAGGAACTGATTTTTTTAAAGAGGAAAACTAATGACAGTATATAACTGATAATTAAATTGTGCATTTAGTACTATTTAAATGTTTTATTATACTAGTATTTTGTATTCTTTTGTTGCGGTTTAAAACTGGAGCTTCAGTTTCTCTGCTCTCCCTTCTAATAGTAAGGATTCAGTAAGCACTCCTCAACTCCTTAGTATTTCATAGAAAAATGACTGTAGTTTTAAAGCTTAGAAGAAAACTTCAACATATGTGGTACAAATTTATGATCTAATTAAACCACGTATTTTCCAGTCTTTGTCATGTGAATCTAAATGGTGGCTAAAAGGAACACTTTTTCTGTGGTTATTATAAACTTAGCATTGTATTTGAATCCTAGAGCTTTTATACACACTAAATATTGACGTCACACCATTTCCAATGTCAGCATCCCTAACCAGAGAATATTCATTATACTTCCTAAGTGAGCAGTAATTTAACTCAGAAGCTATTTTATTTTAATATAATTGACCTCTCTTTACATTTCTGATGTGTTCACCTCTAATCTGTTTTAGGAAGAGGGTTGGTTATTATGGTGATCCCAGAATATAAATCATATTCTTTATATTTAAGAGTATCTCAAACGTATTCCTTTTTTGTATGGTGGGTTTGCCTAGGGACATGTAACTACAGGCCTTTTCTAAGCTAAGGAAAAAGAGAATTTTTCTTTTCCACTTACAAATTTCAGGTCTCTACAGAAGATGTGAAAGCACTAAAAATACCATTTCTAAGCTGTACTTTGCCTGGTTTTTCTTTAGCAAACCAGGTTACATGGCGTAAAGGTTTGTTATATGTGCCACAAGATAGCATATAAATATTATGCCATCATTCCTTCTCTTGTTAAAGGTAGAATAAAATTGTCATTTTTATAATCTATACTCCATAGTACTCAAATGGTCTTCAACATCTTTTTAAATAACGTGTTTTTTGAATGTTCAGTTTCTATTTTGCTTGAGGTATTTTGTACGTATGTGCCTTGTGATTGCTGCTGCTTTAAAGGATAAAGTACTCTTTGGGGGGGTGAGTCTGTTTTGTTTTGTTTTATTTTTTAATTAAATAAACCTACATTCCTGATTATTAGTCTATTTGCATATGTAACATATTCAACAGGATAGTCTCTTGATTTTAACTTTTCTGCCCAGCTGGGGTAGTATTCTTTGTGTGTTGTTTTGTCTTGTTAGAGAAAATAACAACTACATTTCTTAGTTCCTTTTTTCACATCCAACCAAAGAAGATGGTAGTATCTGAAGTCTCTTAGGTTCCTGCTAGCCTCGTAGGACTACGAAAATATGGCCATTATTTTCATAAACAATAACTTTTCAGCTTCTTTTATAATACTTTCTAAGTCAAAATAGCAACATCCAAATAATGTTTGTAGGCCAGGAGCTGTGGCTCACACCTGTAATCCCAGCACTTTGTTTAGTCTGAAGTGGGTGGATCACCTGAGGTCAGGAGTTCGACACCAGTCTAGCCAACATGGCCAAACTCTGTCTCTACTAAAAATTTTTACAAAAATTATCTGGGCATGGTGGCACACGCCTGTAATCCCAGCTACTTGGGAGGCTAGGGCAGAATTGCTTGAACCTGGGGCGGGGTGGAGGTTGCAGTGAGCCAAGATCTCACCACTTCATTCCAGCCTCGGCGAAAGAGCAAGACTTAAATAAAAACAATGTTTGTAATAAACTTTTCGAAAATATGATCAGAAGTTTCTGGGAAAGATGGTGGATCAGGCACATTATTTCAGTCCTTAAAACACACCAACATTTTAAACAAAAAGAACCCAAAGTAATATTTTTTATGTTAAAATTGCAGTGACCACAGTCCAATAATATACACCACAAAGAAATGTCTACTAGAAACAGTAACATTTGGATCAACCTGAAGCAGTATGCTGAGAAAGTACAGTCCTCTTAAATCTGGAGCAAATTACACATTTCTCTTTTACAGAGTGAGAAGTTTCCAAAGTGCACGTCTACCAGTGATCTTGTGTTTTAAAAGGCAGTGGCTTGGGGGTGAGCAGTGTAGAGACCATTTGGACCCCATTTTCACTTAGCAGGATTGTCCACAGGGAAGAAGAGAACCACACAACCTTTTATTATCTATGACTAAATTCTAACTCAGGAAAAGTGGGGCTTTGGAGCAGGTTGGAACAGAAAATGCACCAGTATTTCTTCAAATTCAGAACTTCACTAATTGTACCGTGTGTACTTTTTTTATATGCCACTAAAAGAAAATTCTTTCTGTATTAGGCTATCAGCTGTAAGGTGTCTTCCAATATTAGAGATACTACAATGTGCGTGGAGAAGGTGTATCTTTATGAAATAATAGTCATCTGATGTGTGGGCCTCATGCCATCTTTCCTTGTGGACATAAAACCTTAGTCCCAGAAAACAGATGTCCAACATCTAAATCTGAATATCTCCATTCATCTTTCCAAAACACTGTCATTGTGATGACATCAAATAAAAACATTTGTTAACATACGCCTACAGTATGGGTTAAGCTATGGAGGACGCATGAACTTCATTTCCTTATGAAGTTGGAAATGCCTGGTGAAGAGGAGTAGTAGGAAGCTTAAGAATGATGGAACATGGATAAAATAACTCATCTTGACAGCAACATTTTCGAGATTTGAAGGAAAAAGGAAATGTGATTGAAGAATTTTATATCCACAAAGCAGTCTTTCAAATAACAAGGTTATAGAAAAACAATTTAAAATTAGAATTTAATGCTTCTTTTTGAGCCCTTCCTGAGGAATCCACTAGGGGAAAGCATCTAACTAACAAATGCAAGACCAGACATGGTGGTTCACACCTGTAATCCCAGCATTTTGGAAGGCCAAGGCAGGAGGACTGCTTAAGATCAGGAGTTTGAAACCAGCTTGGGGAACATAGCGAGACCTAATCTCTACAAAAAATTAACCAGATGTGGTGGTGTGCACCTGTAGTCCTAAATACTTGAGAGGCTGAGGCAGGAGGATCATGTGAGCCCAGGAGGTCAAGGCAGCCATGAGCTGTGATTCCAGCCTATGTGACAGAGTGAGACCCTGTGTGAAAGAATAAAGCAAAATAATCTGTCATGAGATTCAAATTTTTAAAAAGTAATAATGTATATAAATTATACCTTGCAAATTAACTTAAGGACAGAGAACCAAATATCTCATGTTCTCACTTATAATTAGGAGCTAACCATTGCATACTCATCGAATGAAGATGGGAACAATAGATACTGACTGTCAGGAGGGAAGGAGGTGGGGTAAGGGTTGCAAAACTATTATGTACTATGCTCGGCACCTAGGTGAAGAGATCATTTGTACCTCAAACCTTAGCATCATACAATATGCCAAGCTAACAAACCTGCACATGTAGCCCTAAATCTAAAAGTTGAAAAAAAGAAAGTATAATAATTTGCTCATTATTATGTAAAGAAGGTACAGTACAGAAATATTTAGACTGATAAAGGGAAAGTATGAAAAAGAGGGATTAAGTATACATTGTAAGAAGTTTTATTATAAAGATAACTAGTAGAGGCCAGGTGCAGTGGCTCACGCCTGTCATCCCAGCACTTTGGACGGCAAGGTGGGCAGATCACATCAGGAATTCAAGACCAGCCTGGCCAACATGGTGAAACCCTGTCTCTACTAAAAATACAAAAATTAGCTGGGCATGGTGGTGGTAGCCTGTAATCCCAGCTACTCAGGAGGCTAAGGCAGGAGAATCGTTTGAACCTGGAGATGGAGGTTGCAGTGAGCTGAGATTGCACCATTGCACTCCAGCCTGGGCGACAGGGTGAGGCTCCATTACAAAAAGAAAATGGAAAAAAAAAAAAAAAATAGTAGAATGCAAACGTAAAACTTCCTAAATTCGAAAAAAGCAAAATTAGACCTTATACGGGGAAAAATAACAAATAAAATGCAATACATGAAGAAAATACAACCAAGTATCAAAACTGCACCGTACTTGCTGAATTTGTAAAATTTAAAAAATACAACAAAATAGCATGAGTTGAGACCAAGCATATTAATCATACAGTGAATGTGCATCCCCTTAAAGTCTTTTGTTTTTTGAGACAGGGTCTCACTCTGTTGCTCAGGCTGGAGTCCAGTGGCGCAATCACAGCTCATTGCAGCCTCAAATTCCTGGGCTTAAATGGTTCTCCTGCCTCAGCCTCCTGAGTAGCTGGGACTACAGGTATGTGCCACGATGCGTGGCTAATTTTTTAAAATGTTTTTGTAGGGACAAGGTTTCCCTCTGTTGTCCAGGCTGATCTCAAACTCCTGGCCTCAGTCTGCCCGCCTTGGTCTCCCAAAATGTTATGATTACATGCATGAGCCACCACACCTGGCCCGTGCACTTTATTCCTACTCCAAGAAAAAATTTTCAAATTGGTTTGCAAATCAAAACACAAACTCTGCTGTCTACGAAAGACAAGAAAAGCTAAACATAAAAATAGTGACAAAAAGGCAGGGCGCAGTGGCTCACACCTGTAATCCCAGCATTTTGGGAGGCTGAGGCAGGAGGATCACAAGATCAGGAGATCAAGACCATCCTGGCCAACATGGTGAAACCCTGTCTCTACTAAAATCAAAAAAATTAGCCAGGCATGGTGGCGCACAGTTGTAGTCCTAGCTACTCGGGAGGCTGAGGCAGGAGTATTGCCTGAATCCGGGAGGCAGAGGTTGTACTGACACTGTACTCCAGCCTGGCGACAAACTGACAAACCTTTAACTAGACTAACCAAGAAAATAACAGCAAAGACATAAATTACCAAAATTAGGACCTAAAAAGGCAACATCACTATCAACCCTACAGAAACTAGAAAACTTAAATGATGTGAATATATTCCAAGAAAGACATATATTATCAAACTCTGGAATAAAAAGAAAATCTGCCAGGGTGGTGGCTCACGCCTTTCATCTCAGCACTTTGGGAGGCTAAGGTGGCTGGATCTCTTGAGATCAGGAATTCAAGACCAGCCTGGGTAACATGGTGAAACCCTGTCTCTACAAAAAATACAGAAATTAGCCGGACTCCATGACATGCACTTGTGGTCCCAGCATTCCAGAGGCTGAGGCAGCAGAATCACTTTTGAGCCTAAGGGGCAGAGGTTGTAGTGAGCTGAGATGGTGCTATTGCACTTCAGCCTGGACAACAGGATTGAAACCCTGTCTCAAAAATAAATAAATAAATAAATAAATAAATAAATAAATAAAAAGAATAAATAGAAAATCTGGCCGGGCGCGGTGGCTCAAGCCTGTAATCCCAGCACTTTGGGAGGCCGAGGCGGGTGGATCACGAGGTCGAGAGTTCGAGACCATCCTGGTCGACATGGTGAAACCCCGTCTCTACTAAAAATACAAAAAATCAGCTGGGCAGGGTGGCGTGTGCCTGTAATCCCAGCTACTCAGGAGGCTGAGGCAGGAGAATTGCCTGAACCCAGCAGGTGGAGGTTGCGGTGAGCCGAGATCGCGCCATTGCACTCCAGCCTGGGTAACAAGAGCGAAACTCCGTCTCAAAAAGAAAAAAAAAAAAAGAAAATCTGATAGACTATCACAACTAAATAAATGGTAAAATATTTTCACAAAAATAAAAATTTAAATAAAAATAAAAAAAGTAAGTCAGCTTTTTGGCTAGGATGCTGAAACCCCTTATGTACTAAAAATACAAAAAATTAGCTGGGCGTGGTGGCAGGCACCTGTAATCCCAGCTGCTCTGGAGGCTGAGGCAGAGAATTGCTTCATCTCAAAAAAATAATAATAATAATAAATTAAGATTGGCCAGGCACGATGGCTCACGCCTGTAATTGTAGCACTTTGGAAGGCCAAGGTGGGTGAATCATTTGAGGTCAGGAGTTCGAAACCAGCCTGGCCAATATGGTAAAACCCAGTCTCTACTAAAAATACAAAAAAAAAAAAAAAAAAAAAAAAATTAACCAGGCCTGGTAGTGGGCACCTGTAATCCCAGCTCCTTGGAAGACTGAGGCAGGAGAATCCCTTGAACCCGAGAGGCGGAGGTTGCAGTGAGCCAAGATTTTGCCACTGCACTCCAGCCTGGGTAACAAACCGAGACTCCGTC